TATTGTATGTAATAAATGCTGATATTGTGCAGTCATGTTACATTATTAGTCGTTATCATTTTGCTATGTATTTCGCGTACAAAAGCTGGTACATCATGCGCTTTCTAATTTTAGCATTCCATTTGTTATCATTAACTAAGACAGACAGACTTTGGCGGAGGTTTAGATGTGGAATAAAAAAGCAATTAAGAGATGTAGATAATAACTTCTTATTCTGTGCATTTATTATCGTTTTAGACCAATATATAGAATGTTTTACTTTTTTAAATACATTGAACAAAACTTGAATAATGTATCACTTACAAAACGCATTTGTAATCGGAGTCTATTTAAGTTTTAAAAAGAATAACGCGACTAAATGTAAACTCATATATTTTACGACGATCAGATAACAGATTGTTTAAGAACAGTCTCTCTGTCTTCCATTAGTAACAGTTGCTGCTTACTAGGATTTATCTTCTAGGCTTATCTTGCTCTTCTTTCTTTCTACTTACCTCGTTAAAAGACATTCTTTGGCAGACATAAAAAAATCATTACTTTCAAATTAATTTAGCTCCCATAAAAACGAAAACATTACATTAAATTATTCTATTAATAACGATTGTTATTGAATATTAATCTACATTGTAGCTTATCTTTTAGAAAAATGGTTGAGTTCTTTTAATTAACTATGATTGTGTCTATATTTCATACATGCCATACTTTAGTAAAATGTCTCGTTCCGGTGCCTTATTCAAAATTGATTTGGAAACATTTTAAAGTCATAATCATTAAACTTAATTCCACGTATTTCACGGTCGCAATATTTTAAAAGTATTTTCTTCACCTTTTTGTGTTTTCGCATGTGCTATTTATTATTATCGTTTCGTGAATACCAGGACTATGTAAACATATGTAAACAATCAATATTTAAATCTTGTATGACATGAATAAATAAATACAATAAATAAAATAAATGAAATAGATGTATAATCGTGTTGATTGCTTTTTGTTTGTTTGCTTCTTGCTTGTGAATATTTTATGAATTTCTTTTTGTTATTATTTTAATTCTCGGAATATCTCAGTCGAACGCTCCGCTCTAGGTGCTTAGATATGACCATACAACGGATAAACTCGGTTAATGCCCATCGCATGCATGTCCTGTAATACCCGAATGTGATCCGGCTATTAAAACTTAAATTTTTTAGATATGCAAATCTAAATATGTGAAATTTTCCAGATTGAGATGCTGAAATGTAATAGAAATTACGAAGCATTGTTATCCCGAAATCGTAACCAAGTCGTAGCAAAGTCAAAATGCAGCTCTCAATATGTAGCTGATTAGGTCGTTTCTCGGACTGGAAGGAAAAAAATTATTCTCGCTCTCGATTTCCATTTTGTAAATCCCCGTTCGGACCCTAAATGAAACCCTTTTAAAACAAAAAATCTTCATAGTCCGATTTTAATTTTGGTTAAAGTCAGGTTGTATTGTTAGTTACTATGCAGCCTTAAAACAAAGTTTGAAAAAAGTGGAAAATCTGAACAGGTTCTTTTAAAATGTCAAGAGATAAATAATGGCGGGATATAAATCAACCCAACATCAAAAAATGCCATGCAATTTATAATTTTTTATTTCACGAATGCATTCAGAACTTTCGCTTTCATTTATTGAGTACAAATATCAATCAATATCAATTAATAATCCAAATATGTAGGTGTGTACATAGAGAGACATAATGGGTAATTCCATAAATAATTAGGGACCCACTTTGTGACATTTTTGGTGTCCCCCTTACATGAGGAACCCATACGTATTTGTGGCTCTGAGTAAAGACTTAAATAGTGGAGTGAGATTGTAAAGTGAGTTCCAAGCATTATATTGCATCATCATACCTAAAATCACTTTTTTTTTTTTTTTTGTTGTTTAGATACCTAGAATTACTTAACAATCATACTCCACTGTTCAAGCCTTTAGTCAGAGCCACAAATACGTGTGGGTTCCTTATGCAAGTGGGACACCTAAAATGTCACAAAGTTGGTCCCTAGTTTTTGGAATTACCCATATTCAATCTCATTAATTTAGTAATTTATACTTAGTCTTTGTGTTACCGTTGTTGAAATATTTGACAAAGGAAGTGATGTTTCTTTTTAAATAAATTAGTAGACTTTTTCTACATTTCCGTTCTCGCGCTTGAAATATGACTACCAGTGTAACTACTTCTTTAGCTTAGGTCATAGTGTAATACATGTAGATGGAAACTAGAGAGAAAGAAAGGGGAGAGAGAAAGAGAGAGGAAGGTGGAGGGAGGGAGGAAAAGATAAAAAGAAAGATAAAGAAAGAAAGAGAGAGCGAGAGAGAGATAGGGATATATATATATATATAGAGAGAGAGAGAGAGAGAGAGAGAGAGAAGAGAGAGAGAGAGAGAGAGAGAGAAAGAGAGAGATGGGGGGGGGGGCATTATTAGTTAGGAAGAAGGAATAGAGAAGTACACACATAACACATGTGGTAAAAGGACAGAAAGATTGAGAAAGATTTTTGATGGAGAGACGGATATACATAAAAATAAACGGATGTGGCAAATTTAATTTCAAATGTATGATGTAGTTAAAATATACATATAGATCAAGAATTACTAAGAGGTATATGATTATAATAAAGACATTGGTCTGAAAAAAGGGAGATACTAGCGATTAAAAGAAATTGTTATAAGATTTTCTTTTATGCCGAAAGTTTTAACACACCAACAAACGCCCCCTACAAAAAAAACATTGATAACTACTGCGACAAAAATTATGACAACGATGATGTCAATGGGAGTGATAAATTTTGAGTGTAAATTTGAATGTATTCAATGGGTAGTTTTGTGGTGCGCCGCCAGTTTGTTAACTTGTAAACTAGCAATCAGATTTTTTTTAAGGGTTACTCTCCCAAGTTGTATTAAACCTTTCTAATCGATAAGGATGGGAGTGAAATCGTTTCGGGGTTCTATAGACAAAATTGTTTGACGAACGGAAACTTTATCGAATACACCAACAAAAAGGCAACAAAGATAACGGTAAACTCAAGAACAAGGCAGCAAAATACTGTATTGTATGAGACAACAGAGGGCAACCTTCACTGTAAGTTAGCAACGAAATTTACGAAAGAGCAGGAAAAAAAAGAACATTTTGTTTTGATTACGTATATTTGAATTTGTATCAATAAAAATGGACTTTAGTTCTTTCTAACACTTTCTAACACTTTTTTTTCTTCAAAGACAAGATTGCATCACATATGAAAAGGGGAAAGAGATGAATAAAGAGAGAATGGACTGGGGGAAAGTAATATATATAATACGACTCACTTTCGGAAAATATCGCAATAATAACATGAAGGAAATTCAAATACTTATGACAAATTGAGAATCATTGTTCTTTCATCGTAACTTTTACAGTAGTAGTAACAAAGAAAATATACAGACTGAGATATTACGTTTTTAAAAGGGAGGGGGGTGACGAAGAAGAAACCACCATATAATCAAATTGAATAGCAGGGTGGAGAGTTATCAAAATTACAAAGAAAATTAATTAATGAAGAAATGCAATTTATCTCCAATGTATGAGTATTATACCGTTAAGAATCTTGATGTCAAACACTAATCGCATTTAGTAAAAGCAAATCGCAAAACACAAGCAGTCAATTTGAATTGTTGTTGTCTAATTTTGGACGATGATGACGCACTGCTGATAGACAGGGAGTTATGATTGAGGGGAAAAGAACAAAAATGGCAGAAAAATGTGTAAAAGCCATTCGTATTTTAAATAAAAACGGATTCGATCGTTCAGGAAATCGATATTTTGTCCAGTTCTTTCTAACAGTCTACCATCCAACCGATAATTTAAAAAGTATTTCGATTATTTTGTTGATTGTGGTGTAGTTTACATATCATACACGCAAAATGAATATACGTGTTCTGGTTGGCGGACGGTTTAGACCGGTGTACATACTTCTTTTCATTAGTTACCTTTACCGAATATTCCTTAGATTAATGTTATCATGCATATCTTGTACAACTTTTCGTTTACTCCAACACGTCATCGCACGCGCCCGCTACGGGGTGTAACTTCAAGTTTTCTGGATGAAAGCTATATGCAGTCATCCGTACATGTTCATTTGTTGTTCCCCTCGAGCTGTTGTTCAACTGCTCAACCACCAATCGAAGAAATATCGAACTACACTAAACGTCTGAATAACAAAGTCCTCCTTGGTCTATCAAAATATAGATCCAAGACGGTCAAGACCATCCTTAGACTAGTCCAAACACCAACTTCAATGGTGGTACCAAACTCTTCCGATCGATAAAGTGCCGTTGGACTTTCATGATAGACAAGGGAACAATAAGGCTAATTAATTTGAATATGACCGTTTGATTATTGGTGACAGAGATATTATTTATAAACGATTAAAAGTTTTTTTTTCTGGTTTGGTTGATATTCTTCTGGCTCTAATAAGATATATATCACACCCACGGGTACGTTGTCATGTCCACCTACACAACTCCACTACTATTCCCATATCATCATCATCATCATCATCATTATCATTATTACCTACACCACCACCATTATCATTCCATTATCATCATCATCATCCCATTATCGTTGACATCCCCATTTTCCTTGTTGTTTTAATGGTGTATACTCCCATGGACTTATGAAGTCTAAATGAATTGGTAAGATAAAGAAGTCCATGGAAATCATATATTTATTTTATCACGGATAATAAGCCAAATATCCGCAAGAAGAAACTCATATAAAACTATAAAGAACGCCCCTCCGTACCCCCCGCGTCTGAAAATGGGATCGCCCATCGCTGTGGTGTACCTGCATAACGTTGCTATGGAGAGGTCATGCCATGTGAAAGAAGAGGGCAGACCGTTTAGTCAATAGAGATATTTCTAGTACTATTGATCCGGTCTATTCACTATTGTTAGCCCAAACAATTTTGTTTGTTGTCAAAGAATGAGAAGCACGGAAAGAGCGGAGTAAATCCTCAACACGAAGACCCGAATTAGAGAGCTCACACATTGTTGAGAGGTAGTTGTAAGGTTTTAATTTACAAACGAATAGTATTCTGGTTCAGTGGAGTTTCGTGTATAAAACTCAAGGAACTAGGCTTTACCGAGTAAGCTGTTGCCTGGTATATGGAAATAATTCATTCCTCGACGGGAAACCCTTGGGAGCAGATTTTAGGGTGAGAAAGTGAACTTTTGCTCCTTATTTGGTATATGGTACACATACCAAAGTTGAACTGAAGACCCCTTCAGAGCTTCAACTGTGGATTTTTAGTATAACGTGCTGTGCCAAACTTGGTTATATTCGACCGTCGACAAGTAGCTGCTAAAAGGAGGTTAGTGTTATTATCTTTCTTTTTTCAACGTGTCATATAATTTCAAGATAAGAACAGACTTCAAACTTTCCGTTGGAAGTGTAATAGTAATGCAGATCGAGATATCGAAGTAAATGTTTGAGAAATTGGAACAGCATGTCAATGGTACTGTGTGTTAGAGAATGCTTATAGATTCTATTAACTGATCTAGTATAATGCTATTGCATGTTTGATGTTATAATATTTCATTGGCATAATTTTATATTGTAATGTTTAGATTTTGAAATACCTCATCATTACAGCGATGATGAGTATTAATCATTGAATTAAAATCACTAAACATTTCTCGTGTGGATGTCAAACCAAAAGGAAATTATACAAAATAAAAATATGTAAAGTTTTTCGAGAAAATATTTTAAAAAAACTAGTACAAGGTACATTGTCCCATGGTTTGCTCTGCTCTATTTGATTATATGCTTGGCATCTATATATTTGATATGCGGCCATAAAAAACTAAATGTTCAGCGTGTCACAGATTATTGACAAATGTATCTTGGACTAGAATAAGTTCCTATTCATAGACTTTGGTCACTTCGAATTTAACCTTAATGAACTTTGGATAATTGCCTTTTGATATGACCGAAGTACAGCATGAATAACATTGTAAAGACATGCACATCACACCATTTTTTAATGAATGATTTTTATGAAAGAAAAAACCTATCATGGTTAGATAAAAGTAATGATTATAAGTATGTCAAAGTAATTTATTATTGTTTTCAATGATGTCAGCCAACATGCCAATCCTAATCGTATGGAAACAACATTGGTCTATACATTCTGTATCAAGGGATTTCGCATGTATGGATATGTAATAAATCATCAAAAGCAAAACTTTTAGAGTTATTGTTTTTCATCGGTCAATAAAAATGACGTAGATGTAAACATTTTAACCGTATATCAAAATCATTCATGGAATTTTTTCTACAGGTCTTTGCATTTATTTCAAGATGAGTCCACACTATGTCCAGGCGTAATGAAACACATTCTCAAACTTGAACTATTATAATTCATCGCAACAGGAATGGCAAAAGACAGTGAAGCATGGTTATTTATTTATTTTGGTAATATATATATATTTTTTTTAATCAACACATCTTATTTCGATTCTCTCCATATACAGGAAAACCAATATTATTTCACTATTCGTTCGACATTCATTTCTGAGCCTTTCATGATGACGTGAGCTTAGAAACTTTAATGATGGGAGATAGTACTGAAAGTGAGAAGGAAGACATCTCGAAGGAGGATGCTCGAGATAATGAGAACCTCAAGGAGACAGACCATGATGGAGGGAAGGAGAACTCAAACGAAAAGGAAATAGAGAAGGTGGATGATGACGACGATATGAAGCGAGAAGGTGAAGATATCGGAGGAGGAAATGTCGGCGATTCAAACGGGAACGCCGATAGCAGAGAGATGGATGAGGAAACCGAACCTACCGGGGAAGATGAGAGAGACGATGATGTCAGTAATATGAAACGGGAAAATGATTGCTTGGTTGATGAGGACAGCAGAGATAATTGTGATCAGCAACACGAAGAATCAGTGGAAGCACTAAATAACCATGATAACGTAAATGAGGATGATTCGATAGACATCGTTAGTGAAGTTAACAAGGAGGCTCAGTTTGTAGGAGAAAATGGAAATGATGAAGAAAACGTCGGCCAAATGAAAGGAGATCAAGATGCAGAAATTCTGGATAATGATAATGATGACGATGATGTTGGAGATAGCATCAGTGTCAACGGATCTCCGAGAGATGCAGGGCGATATGAGAATGATGATAGTTATAAAAACACCGATCTGACAGCTACTGTAAAGACAGGCGATAAGGAAGTCGAATCAAAAGAGGGGAATCGGAGATCGAGTATGAAGTCTGCCAAAAGCACCAAGAAATCCAAGACTGTGCGCGTCAAATCCTCGAAAACGGTATCCAGCATCGAAGTCGATATGACGCGTATAATCCGTAACGAAGACGACGACGATTTCGATGCTGATGAGGATGACGATGCAGTGACGCGTGTTACGTGTGGTAAGAGTGTGGACTTCTCTATACCTGTGGATGAGCTCGATGAGGAACTCCAGAGGGTGATTGACCGGCCAGGATCGGGGAGGACATCTATGATGGATAATGAAGATATGATTGGTCTCGGGAGGGCGGCTACCATGAACACACCCGTCACCATTGATGACAGAGAAAGGTAAGCATAGGTCGTCACACCTCTCTCATTAATTTTATGTGGTATATATTATATTCCTCAGAAATGCTTTCTAAGTAAAAGCTATACTTGATATATAAAAAAAAACTATATGTATGTGCTGATAGGCTATCCATTGTGTTAATATAATTATGTAATGTAAACAGGATTGTTGGAAAATTCAGAACGTTCAATGTGTGGGAATCAGTCCAGTTCATATTATTGAAAACTTACTGAAAACATCAGGGAGAAGGGGGGGGGCAGCGACTAAATTCGAAAAATAATGTGATAATTTATCAGACTATGATTAGGTTGGGGGAGGGTGTGATCGTTTCCAAATTCTCTCGTTCATTTTCCATTTCTCTCTTTCTCTTTCTCTTTGTTTATCCGTTTTACTCCGTCATTTGATTTAGGGAGCACGTGCCCCCCCCCCTCCCCCTCCCCCTCCCCCCTCCCCCCGTAGTCACGACAATGAAAAAGACACTGGGCAACCAATTAAGGCGATAATTCATATTAATTATGTACAGGTCTCCTTGCTATTTTTGTTATTTATGACCATCAGTCATGGCTATTCTAGCAGCTCTTTAATGAAAAATAATTCTATCATGTAAAATTCACCTTTCCCAACAGTTTTGTCTACCAACATAGTATTCGAACGCAATCACGTGATGGCATGTACCAGCATGCAGTCGATCTCATCCATAACCGATGTGGAAGTATTAGCTACAGTACCCGATCTCAACCACATGTTCGACGTCGAGAAACACGACCACCGCCTAGGAGTGCGGCCAGTCTACCAGAGCATATTCCTACCACTTTGCTTGGAGGGGTAAGAAAGAAATAACTTTTAAATAATACCTCGGTCACACGCACCACTTAATCGGCAGCTTCAGTATCAACTGAATCTACAGGGGTAATGTGTACCCGGTAGGATGTGAAAAGCATTTTAGTTTGCTCAGCATTGCGAACATATTTTAAATGGCGCCTGGCTGGAATGCTCCACAGGGAGTGGGGAATCGGGCAAGTCTGAATAGATCTGTAAAGACATCGTCGATGTTTTAAGCGCTATATAAACTGACACTATAATTATTATGATATAATTTGTTATTTGATTGGTGTAGGTATTGTGTGTGTGACTATAATCGAAGAGGGGATAGAGCTCAAGAACTTAGATATTATATTCCGCTTGATAAAAATACCAATCAATAGAATACATGGCACATGAAATTACAAAAAACATGAATTTGAAATAAAACAAACACAGATTTTAATAAAAGACACTTTACTAATGTTACGTTTAGAACAAAAATTGTTTGCCGAAATTGCAATAGAACTGCTTGTCTTCTTGTGAAAAAAAAAATCATTGACTGTAGCGTATAGATTATTGATTTTCAAGGTTGTAATTTTTCACATTTCACATTACATTACTATTTTCCACTACAGGTTCCGATGTTCAATCTTCCTAACGTTGTGAAACACATCAACAAGACCCCTTTCAACGATCAACCGAATTCCTATTTCTACATCTCTCAAAGCAAACCTGTACCTTTGAAACCAATGAAGGTAAATATATGGATGCTTCTACTTTTTTTCATATTATGTATACTTCACAACAAAAATAAATGATTAAGATTTAATTGAAAGACATATTAAATAATCTTCCACAATAGGGGCCTAAATGATTGTTAATTCGTTGTCAGTTCATTGGTTGCAATTATGTATTTTTTTCTTGCAAACTATGTAGATTTGAGTAGACATTAAATTATACCTAAGATAGAAATTAAGGATCGCTGTTAGACAATTCTAACGGGATAAGGGTTCAGACCAAATTTTGCTTCTAGCTAACAAGTTTTAACATTTGGCCGGCAAGGCTGTACGAAAAAAATACTTCTCAAACTTTTGAGTTGTCACATGCCACCCCTCTCTATATTGATGTCACCGGAGAGAATTAGAACACGTGTGTGCCTCTTGGAAGTCAATTTGGGGCCTTGACGAAAAATCTCTAGACCTAGATGATCATTTCACATCATTTGACTCTCATTTTTGGCTGTTTGACAGCTTATCACATTTTTGCGTTTCGTTACATGCGCTGACTCAAAATCATATCAAACACGTCAGATTCTTGGTTCTTGTAAATTGTTAAACCATATTATCGCTCAAAAAAAAAAAAATATGTTCACAAATATATATTTTTTTTTATCTCAATCGTTTTTCAGGTTTGGAAAGGTTACCGTGGTAACGTTTACTTTGAACCAATGGTGTGTCGGAGAGCTCCTTTTTCCAGTGCTTCATCGAATCCTAAACCAAAAGAGAGAGTGGCCTCGTCTCATCTTCCAGTTATTCCAAAATCTGCAGAAATAACAACAAACGGTGCACCTGCAAATCCTGCCCATTTCAACTCACACTCTGCAACGACATCCCGTTCACAGCCCCCGAACGGTCGTCGTACCGCGGCGAGCGGAGCGAAAAGTGCTACGTCGACACGTAGTAGCGGACGACAGCTTGCGATCTTGGATAAGACCACGGTCTTGAGTCGTATGGATTATAATGCTGCCGAGGATATCAAATGGATAAGTGGTATCGAGTCGACAGGAACGTTGCAGATCGGACCGTCGGGCGATAAGTTGGCTGGACGAGCTTATAAAGTTTACAGGAACGGGCCCAAACATCCCAAGCTTAGGATTCGGCGCGGACTCGTCAGTCATAATTTGGCGGGAAACAATAAGAACTCTCCCAAGTTTGGTGTGAGCGGAGGTCGCATTAACGAAGACCTGACAACAAACCGCAATGCTAACCCAACAAACATAACGCAAAAGAAAACTTCAGTTCAAGAACACCATGGCGTCAGTCAGTCCTACCCTACTGATAACTATTGTTGCGTGGATTCAATGACTCCTTTGCAGCAAATTATGAAAAGAAACGATGGACATGGTCGATCTAAATTGGTGCATATTTTACCGTCTGCATACGGCGACGGTGGTATTGGATCTATTAGACCCAAAGGAAAGTAGTTAATACATTTAATGTTACATTGTGAGAATATTAACCATGCGATACAAAAAAAATATCTAAAAAGTGCTTTCAGCGTGAAATACCAGCCTTTGAAACATATTATCCTGGATGAAATATCAATATTATCAGGTTTGCATTGACTAAAAAACAAATTTAGGACAACCTCAATAGACGATTGTATTGCAGTCAGAAATAGTTCGACATTTCCAACAGGGACGCACATGGCTACTGAAATAAGTTGATTTTTTTCAAGTCTTTGAGATCGCAAACTTCCATGTGAATGGTTATGAAGCAAGACAAGGTTAATGCATGTTTGGAAAATTATACATGGGTCTATCTTGCAGTATAGCTATCAGTTTAGCATATTGATTGTCTTCCATATTTTGCCAGCTGTTTATCAATTATGAATGCTTCCAAATACATTAATCAAATGCTGGCATAATTGTGCAAATATCATATCGGCGTATTATTGTTTGCAAAGAAATTATATATGCAGAATTATATACAGAATTTTTATGATTGTCTTTTGGATTATGTTATGCAATTACTTTCAGCTGAAAACGCGCTTTTTGTCATTTTGATCATGTGCAAGCGGGTAGTTACTCGCCATTTATGTTCTCATGTGAGTTTGAGTGAATACCTTGAGGGGTTTTTCTTTTATTATTCCCCTGAATAATAGTCTGAACCACGGCCCTGATTTTGTCTTTGTTTCCTTCAAGCTAGTTGTATCGATTGATGAAAGCATCCGAACAATAAAAGCAATTAAGATTGCATGGACGTACTGATATGTAATCAATACAGTGAGGTCGTTTTTATAATTAAAATAGATTTAGTCGATGTGAAGTACCAATCTGGATGCATTGATGGGATTTAATGGCACAATTATGAAACCCCTTATTGCACTGAAAGATGCTATCAAGAAGAAAACGAATGCTACTACTATGTAAACTGAAGTTACCAGTACTGTTTCTTGAAAACTAAGGTACATGTATGTGAAAGTAATGTTGTTTTTTTCTCAGCCGTCATAAAAGTTACGAAATTGTATTTTTCAGATGGTGATTGTCACGGCTTACCTGGAATGTTCTCTTTAAAAAAAAAAGAGTAATATATTTCTCAGTTGCCATAATAATGTTGTACATGTACATCTATATTAATTATTGGACACCTTGTGCTTGTTTTGTAAGGGTTCTAGTGCAATATCATATGAAATATGTTGTAAAGTTTGTAATATTAGATATTATGTAGCCTCGCTTCGCATAGCAAAATTGATATTTACAGCTGATTGGTAGAGGGGTCGGAATCGTGCTCCACAAGGGAACCTGAAACGTATGCAGCAAATCTATCCTGCTATGTAGTTTCAAATCCAGTGATATATGGCGTATGCCCTTTCCGCCCGTTTTAGGCTCCCCCAAATGATTTTAACCTTTTGAAATAAATATTTTCCATGGCATTGCCAATGGATAGCAAGGAGGGATTAGGGGGATGGAAGTAAGATTGAGACTATTGCATTACGTGATTAACTGAATATTAATTGTTATCTATTGTAGTAGAAGGATCGGTCTTAAGCTCTTTACCAAGCTGACCACTACCAATGCCTTATATACACTCCAAAAAGTGAATCTGCAATAAGAAGACATGGCAATTCCTTGCGCATGATGTAAGGACTTTCTTCTTGACAAAATGAAAGGCAATTTTGTATCCATGGCTGTGTTTTGTGCATCATTATATCTTGATTTCAATATAGATTTGATAATAAATTCTATTCAAAAAGTACATTTTACTTGACAGATTCTCTTTTTTTCTGGTGTTCTTTCAAACACATGTTTACCTAAATATCTTCTATTTCTGCACTACTCCGTCTATCTCTCTATACATATCTTATTATTACACTACATTAAAAAAAAAATGTTCATCCCACTTCCATACATGTCATATTGTTTGAAGCCTCCTTAAATTGGGGGTTTATTAAAAACATACATTTCAGATTAAGAATGTGTATGAGTGCACTATCATGAAGGTTATGACAGAACAACTACAACAGATCTATATTCTCCATACCTTACAAGAACAAAAAGACAAAACAGTCATATTTTGCAATGTTTTTCTTTCTTTTTATTTCCAAACTAGAAGTCTACAACGATTACTTAACACATCAATCAATCAGATGGAATTAATCTCAGAAAGGCACTAGAAAACAATGAAAGAAAGAACATTACATCAATTAAGAATGAATCTCCACAGAAACAATCTCCACAGAAACATTATTTTCATCTCAATCAATCCAAGACGAGTTTTATATAAAACTTCGATCGTTTTGAATATTTCTCGTGAAAACTTTCTGGGTATGCAGTTTCTCAAAAACTAGCATCCCTTTATAACATTGTAAAGAGTTTAAACACTTAATAGGAAATGTGGAAAAAGATATATTGTTTCCTAGATAGCACATCAAAACGCAATATACTCTCAACACATTTACATTAAAATTATATATCTTCTGTCTGTCTGTACCACACTGTATCAAGCATGTCAGATTTTTTTTCCATTCACAGTATTGGTCCACTTAAAGTACTGCTAGGTAATCTCTTCCACAAAAATAGAAATTTTCCAGTAAAGTTTCTTGAAAGGTCAGTCACAGATGAGGCTTAGAGGTACAAAATGCAACTTTGCTATCATCCAGTGTTTGTTTACATCAACTTTCCTATGTTGGAAAATAGATGCTGTGAATACATCTTTAGTCAAAAGTGTTGAATGTAGTTTTACAAACACAGGTCTCCCCCATACAGGCCAACTCAACTCATGAGAGATTGGTTTACACATTACTATATAAATTGTATCTCTCAATTCATTTCCTTGCCACTAAACAACTTTAAATGGCTTTGTGTTGCTATGCATCTCAGATTCAAACTTGAAAAGACCCTGTTTTACAACTGCCAGTCAAGTCTGGTATGTCAATATACAAAAAGCTTTCAAGTCACTGAATATGTTGCCCAACATGAAGTCGGTTTACTCAAGACATCATCGTGACATGTTCATGTCGGTCTTTAAAAAATAATGCTGCTATCACATAAACAGGCAGTTCATGAAATACAGTGCATAAAGGCATCATTTTTAATTTTTGTATCTGAAAATGAGGAAAGAGTGAGAAGTTTACGACAGAAAGAAACACAAAAACATTATTCCCCCTACCGTATCAAGGTGCAATGAATCAATGCATGCCCAATGCATGACGTATTTCAAGACATTTATTGCCATGGATTCTTTACATTCAATTTCTACAGGAACATATTCACTCTTCATACAAAATTAAATTTTGGATAGATTATAAACTATATACATATTACACAGCAAACTAAGGAAATAAAGAAAACTCAAAATTTGGAAATACTACCACAAAAACATTGCAGCATGCATACCTTCAAAAGGTGACAGAAACAAAAGACAATCATTCAAGCATAACCAAAATTTACATCTTTTTTCTTCATGTACATACCATTTTCTAATACATACAAATGACACAAATATCGTACAAGGCCAAATAAACATCAAACGGAAATATCTTTTATGAATACGTACAATATCTTTGGACCTTCTTTTTCTCATAAATTTTCATTAAATGGCACTCTTATCACTTGAAAATTGAAATAACTAGTTAAACTGCTTTGAACAAGGATTTTATATCAAATTTTCTAAACCCAACAAATATACAAAATATTTTATGCACATTATGTTACAAAGCAAGCTACAAATACCAGTAATGGACGGAGAATTCCAGCAGTATTATTCAATATTCTTATTTCCCCTAAACAGAACAGGCATGTTCATAAATTCCAACTTATGTAGGAATGCAGTTGTTATGTACAATTATGTGTATTCAGTCCTCGCAATGAAAGGATCCAGTATAAAAACAAAATCATGACATTCAAAATTCACCAAACTCTCTGTGCTGTGCTGCAATTCATTACAACCTCTGTACATGACTAGTCAAGATATATATATAAATCAATCTATCTCTGGTCTACCAAGTAGCTGCTCTCCATTCTCAACAAATCAACGGTCAGGGAGTTGACAACTAGACATTACTTCAGGAATGTTGAAGTTAACATAATCTTCAAAAGTATTACTGTTAGCACTTTCCTTTTGCCACAATCATTTTGAAACACAATAAACATCTTCCTTTTCACTGTTTTGTTAGTCATATCTATACATTAATCAACATTTTTCTTGTATTTCAAACTAAACAGAAAGGATAAATTAACAAGGAAGAGTGAAGAGAATTAAGACGGAATATGTATAACACTTAACATTTTTACTAGATTTTTACCTTCTAGAAAATCGATTCAGAATAGTATTTCATATAATATTAGAAAAACTGTGTATTAAGTATATACTATACAGGAGAAAGCAATACATACTGTCACTAAATAATCTCTTAATCTCTCTTTTGGCATGAACAATAAATTCTTGAAAGAACACTTTATTTAGCATCACACACAGAAAAGACCTTATCTACCACACTCCATTACCACTGCTCAACAAATAGCTAACATCGTCTGTGACACATTAAGACACACGTGTAAGACCTCCTTCATATTTCCAATTCATCTGCACACACTGGAATGGTTTCATCATCATCATCACGTCTCTACCTGGTAACAGCATGGCCTACAGCATGGCTTGCAGCACAGCCTTGTCAAGGCATTTCATTTCTTCAGTTTCATCTCAAGTTCACTCTGATCCTATAGATGAAAAGAAGAATACCGAGAAGAAAACAGATATGAGACACGTGTTCGTTGTTAAGATTTGCTATGCATGATTACAGAAGGACAGGTAGTACAGATGTATGATCATTCACGCAATTCAGTGTGAAGAAAGGGGATTTCGATTATACTGCAACCTTGTTTCCTCACTCCATTTATTTTGACATTGTGCTGTTTCATATTAAGTTACATAGTCAAGACCCTGTTATATAAAACAATATGCGGACAGGATCAACTTTTATTAATAATATTAATGTTTAAAAGTTGCATACATCTATTAGGCACACAAACTATGCAAATATATTCTACTGTGCTGCAAGAGATCCTCATGTGTTTAAACTACAACATTAAGTTAAATGAAAAGATGTACTTTTAATTTTTACTTATAAGTACTTCACAGGGTTCATGAAACAGGGCCCATGAAAGCAAGAGGAAGAGGGTCAAAAAAAATCTTCTTGTCTAACCTATCTCTCCAGGGGTGCCTCCAATGATACCGTTCTCCACCGGGGCTCCTTCAGGAGCGCTCAAGGCCATAGGGTCTCCAGCCAGCTGAGCTTCTCCTTCTACCATAGTCTCCAGGACTGCCTGCACTCCATCTGTATTGGTCTGCTCCTTCATCATCTGGTTGTCAAGAGAATTCTGTGAAGATATGGAGAGATAAAAATAATATGCTACACTGCAAATTTGGATAAAATCAGTTGTCATATAGTAAAAGATGGTGATGTGAAGTTCAGAAATCAGCTCAATGTTTGAAGATTTCACTGCAGCGAAAGGGAAATCGGCCATTTTGTCACTGTTTTCAAAAACTGAAATACATGCAAATGTCTGAGCACAGTACATACAGTGGATGGCAACACCAGCAACGATTTGTTTAAAACCCAAATTATAAGAGGAACTTTACAATAAATATTTCTCACAATAAAGAAATAAAGATCATTGGCATTTGCTGATTTTAAATTTGCTGAAGTCATTTAATAACATTTGGAAATCTGCATGACTATTGATTATCTAAACAAGAATACACACCTGTGTAATGACAGTGAGCTTTGGAGGCAGATCATCCACAGTGAGTTCCTCATTGTTGTTCTCACCCACCGTGGCCTGTGGGGTGGTAGCCTCTGGAGTCTCACTGGACTCTGGAGTCTCCTGGGTCTCCTGGGACTCTGGAGTCTCATTAGTCTCATTGGACTCAGGGACTGGAGCCGGAGCTGGATCCTTCTCCAGACTCTCCTGTCTAGAGATGTTCTCCTTCTGACTAGCATCTGATTCCACTGGGATCTCTGTGCTCATCGTTGTATCATCCTGGAATGGGAGAAGGATGAATGAATTAATGGCAAGGAACCCCAAAACATGATAAGACTTGATGAAAAGAAGTGCACACAATCAATAGAAAATTGGATGAGCTATCTGCCTTATGTGAAGGGAGACATGATGGCTCAGTGGTAGAGCATTGGTATCGTACCAATCAGTACCAAGTCCCTTGGAGAGGACTTAAAGACGTTGGTTCCCTGGTTGCTTACTTACAAGCATACACATGCTATCTTAGCAGTCAGGTAAAATAAAACAAAAACAGCTCAAATGATGACAATAAATCGTAACAGATGATGTTATAAGCAGTCAAACAAAGAAACATAATTGTCTAAATTCACATACTCTACCACATCTAATATAAAGATTGTATTTTTAGTTACCTGAAACCAGAATGTTTGACAGATAACCAGAGATATATGTGGACACAGGAGAATCAAGATGACTCAGTGATAATAAATCAAAGAAAATATGATAAACTCACCACACTATCAATTTCTCCATCAGCATTAGCAGCTCCAATGCTTGTGATTGTCTCTTCCACAGCTTCTCCTAGACTGTCAGGGTCATCTTCCTCTTCACCACTACCAATGCTGAGGAGTGAGAGAAAAATATAAAAAATGCCATGTTACTTGACAACTCAAGCATGATGCTTCAGTCTCTAAGAGAAACGACAGCACCAGTTTAAGGAAAGGCACAAATAAATGATCAACCCTACAACTGTGTAATTGAGCCAACATTGTCACATTTTCTCTTTAGTAGAATTTATGACTAAATGTTATAGAATTTCTGCATTAGAGGTACTAAGATGATTTGATATGCTAGACAAATACAACTCAACTAATCGTTGAAGGCTTCAAATTCCTGTTTTAGCTACAGCAAGTGTAATATGTGTCTCTGACCTCCAAAATATTGGAGATATTGGTCATGGACAATGAAAAGCCATTTTTAGAAAATAAATTAACCATTTAATGACTTACTATGTGACTCCTTTTGATTCACTCATGGACAGCTCAATCTGTAAATGATCCACACCCTGTGGCTCACTGTCTCTGTTTAAAATGAAAGGAAATAAAATAACAAACATTATTCGCTAGTTTTCTGTAAATCTGCATAGAGCATGACTACTAGTATGTACATGCCATGTTTACATAACTTTAATACATATTCATTTCAAGTCTTTTAAAAAGAATGTTTAATTCTACTTTGTTAATATCACTATGATACCCATTCTCCTTTGACAATGTTTCATTTACTGGTATTACATCTTTGCTTTCAAAATGTCCCTTTAAATGGGTGAACATTAAAGAATAGAACAGCTAATGTGTTTGTTATTGAAACACTCAAGTCATTTATTCCTTGTATTACAAGAATGGAATAATAACAAAGAATCACAAATAGTACTCACTCTTCTCTATCACTGATGTCCACTTGTGTAGAAAACATATCATCTCTCGTCTGAAAACACAAACAAATGAAGTAGATACAGGTAATAATAACATAATCTTGCATATTACTCATACCCAGTACTACAAGTTCTTTAAAATTAAACATGATGTCAGAGGCATACAACTGAAAGAAGTAAAATAAAACCAAGTATGGCACAGCTTCCTGGGTATGGTATGCAGTGACTCTTGTGATCAATGATCTTATCAATTAATTATGGTTGGGTTACTGTAGGGTTCTTGTAATTATATTTGGTTGAGAAATGGTTGAGCCCAGAACACTATGCTAACAGTTACAAGTGTGATCAGAGGATTGATAATATATCATGTTCACCTTGTAGAAAGTAAGAAGAGAACAGCTATGTCATACTTTACAAAAACAAAATCATGTAGAATAGAAGGAGATAATGTAGGGGAAAATACGTCAGAAACGAAAGCAATCAACAGGTAAATAAGAAGAAATTAATTTAAAAGACAGAGTAGGCAAACATGTAGAAGAGATAATAATGTGATTTCAAACAACAGTACAGGGATACAACATTCTGCAAAATGTATTGATTATTTAATCTCATTTTAACAGGGTGGCTTCATCAGCAATATTACCAATATTTTACAAGAGTGCCCTGTAAATCAAATGTGCACTTACATTTCCTAGTTCTTCCTCTTCAAACCTAGAAGCTACTGCCATAGCACTCTCTAGTTCATCTTCCATCATAGCTCCTCCACCACCAGACCCATCACCACCCTGCTGCTGCTGCTGCCTGCCAGCTGGATGACTCTGCTGCTGCACAGTATCTTCTTCATCGGATGAAGACTCGTCATCAGAACTGCTTTCTCCTGAGATGAATTATGTAAATAGAGTGGCATTGATTTAGAATTGCATCAACTGAATAATAGCATGCCTAATATCCAGCTGATGAGCATATACATTCATTATGGAAGTTTTTAACCAAAACATTACTTCAGTTTCACAATCATCACCCCCTGTGTATTTGTAATCTGAACTTGAAACTCTCCAGAAGATATTTTTCAATATTATGGAATATTCTTTGCTTCCGGAGCTCACACTTTAGACAAAGCATCAAATTCAACTCTTTGAAGTAAATGTCAAATCAGTCAAAATGTAATCCCTGAACAAAATATAGAGGAGTCCAGAAATCAAATCAATGCCATTGTCAGCACATTGTGTAAATGAAATATCAAAATAAGACACAGAAGTTTCTTGCTTGGAATAGAAGTTTGGGATGTATAACAAAATCTTGTCTTGAAAAACAAATGTATTGCCTGATCAATCCTCTAAAAGGCTTAAACAGTAAAGCACAAGATTTTATCATCAACAATAAAGATAAAAGTTAACATGGACTATTCATTACCTTCTCCAGTAGCTTGATCTTGAGCTGTACCAGTCTCAGTCCCTGTTTCTGTTTGCTCCTCCTCATCCTCATCATCATCATCTTCATCCTCCTCCTCATCATCGTCGTCATCATCTTCATCTCGTTTGGCTGCTTCTTGTTTGAGTTTGTTACCAGCTGTATCAAGGTCCTGCATAAGCCTGAAGAAAGCTAGCTCATTGAAGAGGATCTCAGAGATATCTACCAGCAAGTCCTCTCCACACTCACGCATCCTGAGAGAAAAGATGGTAAAATCAAATTACATAAGATTTATATTTATGACAAACACCATCATCATCACCATCACCAGAGTCACGACCATAGAACATTAATTTTTTGTTTACAAGCTCAGAACAGTGACTTAGGGATTATGCTTTTTACAAACAAATTTTGTAGAAGTGACAACAGTGAAGAGAAAATATGATGCTTTTTACATAATACAAACATTTTCCTTAAAATGCTATTCAATGGGATATATAATTGATATCTAACCTTTCAAAAAAAAGTTTATTCACCCACAATACTCAACATGTAACAAAGTACTAACCAAATTGAAATATCTACTCTGTATTGTATCTAAATCTAAATCAATGTGTATTGGTAATTATTGACAGATATTAATTTGCTAAATCTTTGACGGCTAGAGCACTCAACATAGTACCCTGCTAAAATAATCATTGAAAATAAAGTAACTGACTTACTTTCTACCAGAGAACTTAGCCAGAGAGTCTTCCAGGATGGAGCCCAACTGCCTGTTGAAGAAGCGGACAAACTCCCTGCTTTCATCCTTTTGCCTTGCCAGACCTAGCACCAGACGTCTGATGTAGGCCAGTAGCTGTGGAGAGCACACATCGTCCATGTGTTCCTTGAGATAGGGAATAACCTCCTGCATGATGCCTTTGATCTGCAGGTCCAGCTGACGGGTGTCAATGCGAGGGTACTGTTGGGGGCAGAAGAGATAAGAATAAAATTCCTTTGAACTCACAGACTCATTTTAACGGGTGAATGGTTCTACAGCAAATATCAATTGTAAGTACAATTAATACATTTTACAGTTGATCACTTTGATAACATGAAAGCATCACTCAAGAGTAAATGAAGTATATATTTTGTGTTCTGCTCCCTCTCTCCCCCCCCCCCCCCCCAAAAAAAAAAAAAAAAAAAATGAAACTATTCTGGTATGTTTTGATTTTACCACCTCTAAACATTTCATATTATTATCATATAAAAGTTGAAGAGACAAACATTTTATGATGAACGCATTGGAAAATATTCCATTGTGCTCTAATACAGTTAATTCAAAAGGTGTATGTAATTAAGAATGCTGTTAAACTCACCGGCAGGTCAGAGAAGGAGCTTTCACTACCCATGTCTTGAGCTGAGCTATTACTAGTCATATCCGAGGCAGACATAGCACCTCCTTCCTTGGTATTATCTATTGAGCTGATTCCTGAAGCTGCCTCAACCTCTGCCTTCATCCTCTCGTATTCTCTCATCCGCTGAAACATAATCAGAGTGGATAGTGTATAAAACGACATAATTAAAATTGTTTATAATAGCTAGACCTCATCAGGTGCATTTTATGACTGAATGAGCATGACTGAGCTATCTTTGTAGTACCACTAATAATAATTTTGTTTACAGAGGTAAGCCTCATCAGCTTTGATGCTGTTCTTCCTGAATGCCCTACAATTATTATTACCCAAACAATTGCCAGGTACCAATTTACACCTGGGTGGAGAGTGGCAAAAGTGGATTAATGTCTTCACACAGGACCTCATTGCTGGGCTGGAATTGGAACCCTTAACCCTTGGAATGAAAGTCAAGTGAATGAACGATCGTACAACGACAACTCCACATACCACAAAGGCTGTGGGCTTGAAATCCTAGAGTGAAGAAAGGTAGAAGCTTGAAACATACATGTACATGACCATCCCAACAATGCAAGTTTTCTTATCTTCAAGTTCAAGTGTGGAACAAAAGTAGGTTTTAAACTCATATACATGTTCCTTACATCTACATATGGTCAACACCTTATACCCTTTGTCAAAAATGATTTCCCCTCAAAATTCTTACCTTGAGTGCCTTATCAAGATGAATGACAGTGTTCCCCAGGTCTTCATTGGCAAAGCCAAACTCTGCTCGTCCTAATGATGGAGGTGTGGAGAGTGTACTAGCAGAGTCTACATTCTCAATGTAATCATACTGATCATCTTCCAGTAAGGCATAGGACGACTCGTGGGGCTTCTGCAGATTAGCACCAAACAGACGCGCCTAGTGTATGAACGACAAGATTTCATGCTTATGATCAAGTAAGTAGTTGTAGTTATAATAGCTACCATTTTAGTCTGTATGTAAAGCAGTGTTTTCAGTGACAAATGCAGAAGAAAAACTTTTGTTTTGGTTATGGTTATGATTCTTTTACTAGGTTTACTGTTTATGGTGGCTGTCCAGACAAACCCACTGGGGTTTTTATACAGCAACCAAATTCCTTCTTTTTTTTTTACTGTCAATATTCTAATGTCAATATTTTACTATTTAATAATAATTATGTATAAGTAGTATTTCTTTTATATTCACTGTATGTTGATGTTACTGTTTTTATTATGGTATTGAATAAATACTGAATTGAATTGAACTTATTCTATCTTTTAACATAATCTCCTCTTTGAACCCCATCATTTCTACAATTTTGTTTTGGCTTCTCAGGTAATGACACAACTTACATGTAATTTCAGTGCAAAAAATACAAAATAGCATTTCATAGTTGCACAGAAACAGCTTATTAGAAACCAGACAAAAATGAAGTAAGTTTTGAAAAACATTGCCTTACCTTGATTTCTTCTTCATCTGATGTAATAAAGCTCTCACTTGGAGTTTGCTCCGATCCTGCAAAGTTCATCCATGCTGGCATTGGCTGTAAACAAAATAGGAAAGATTTATAAACTCAATGGCTGAAATATTCAATGTAATTTTTGAATACTTTGTTCATATTACCACAGTAAACATTTGTATGTTACTATTTTCACCACACATTCAAAGAAATCACGTTGATGACTTAGTTAGTGACTTAATGGGCAATAACTTTTCTGGTATTCTTTATTTTTCAAGATCTACACTATCATGTGGAAATACTAGTGCATGGATATAAAACCTGTACATATTATTCAAATATGTCATTGATATAAATTGTATGTAGGTACACCTGTACTGAAAATGTTGAAGACTTACCCTCTCTGATGGTAGCGTGGGGGCCTCGGATGCTGAAGCGTTTGTGTTGTTGTCATCAGTGAGGTACTTGGAGACAAGGTCTTGCAGGGCGTAAAGCGCCCTCTGTCTGAGGTAGTCTGTATTGAGCATCTGAAGCTCACGGAACAGCTCAATGAGGAAGTGCGGTCTCGTCTCGTTCTGTGAGATGAGTGATGCCACTTCTGAGTAGATGGACTCACGTAGAGCTTCAAAGAGAGAGAACTCACTCCCAGCATCAGACTCACTAAGGGGGTAATAGAGGAAATAAGGAAGTGATATTTGCCGTCATTTTTCACAAGTGAAAATCAAAATCTTAAAATAAACCATGTAAGCATTTCAATCACAATGGTGCAAAGCCTAAATTAAAGAACTTTTATTAAAAAGTGTTCGTCTAACCATTGCTTTTAGAAATAGAATCACGTTATAATTTCTTTGACACAGCTTGGGTAGAATATGGAGTAGTCTGACAGTAACCTCCATTGCCCCCTTCCTGTTTTTAAACATTTGTATAAATGTGACATAAAAATAAACTAATTGAACAATTGAAACACTGTATGCATAGCATTTCATATGATATAACCCATCTTCAAACACTATATACAAAATGTTGACTTACAGTTCACTTGTCTGTGACATAATTGATCGATCAGTGTCTTGCTGTATCTGTTGCTGCCGCTTCTGTTGCCCTTTGCCCTTTGACTTTGCTCCATTGTTACCCCTATCACTGTCACCAGGTAGACTAGACATGGACACTGTGCTTGTAATGCTCGCTGTGTCCAGGAAGGCAGTCCCACTGATGGAGGAACTCAGACCGGTACCCATCTTGGGTCCTAGAAGCTTGGCCAGACGGGCGCTGGGCTGGGTGGACTGGCTTGATAGCTGTGCTCTGGCTTGGGATGCACTGCTTGGCATTGGGTGCTTGCCTGTAGAGAAACACAGGGAAACTAAGATTAGCATACATGCCAACATTTGAAAATCAGAAATCTGTACAAATTATGCTACTTTAAAAAAAAAGAGGAACAATCCTAACTCTCCTATTCAATACTACAGACAAATTTGTACAGGAAGAGGAACACCTGCATTAAAATGATAATTATCTTCTCCCAAAAAGAGGAATGTTCCTCTTTAATCTGAACAGTTGGCATGTATGGATTAGGTTTTAATGTCCTAACAAGTATTTCTTCTGACAGTTGAAATATTGTTTAACCTTTCAAGAAAATAAAGTGAGACTGACTCAATTGAAAGCTCACATCAAAACTAATCTTACTCTTTGAATGAAATGTGATAAGGATTCTCATTATGTAATCAAGTACAGACATCATTATTACAGATAACTGAAAGTTCACAATTCAAAATATGGATCTATGTCATGAGCCATAATGTTCAATGTGCCTGTCAAAGGACTGAGTTCTCCACAAGAATTGGAGAAATAGTTCTTACCTCTTCTGTTGGATGATGTATTTGATCTCTGACTACCCAACTCATCTCGAAGTCTCCTCTGCTGGTCTCTATAATAATGATTGAAAAAAAGAGGGAAACATCACACATTGTTCAATCACCAAGGTGTATCAATACCATTGTATACAGAAGTCGAGCAAGAACAAACCTTGCACACAAAATAGACATTGTATGGATTCATATATCATCACAAAAACATGATGGAGTAGTTCCATTTTACACTTTTCATGACTGGTTTTCATACACCATTGCTCCATCAAGCAATGGAACTGCCAGACACTAATTTAGTGTTGTAATATTGTCCTAGAGTCCCGGTAAAAACCATAAAGATGGCATTTGGTAACAATCACCTAGCATTTAAGTCTCACAATCTGCACCCCCCCCCCATGATTAAGACCTATCTTGACTGCACCATTGCAGACTATCCTATCCTGTTAAGCAAAGTAAGATTAGATGACTTACGTTCTTTTAAGAAGGCTGGTAATATCTAGTGGAGGTACAGCAATCTCTTCCCTCGACTCTGTGGGTTCCCTTGCCAAAAGATCATTGATGTCTCCAATCCCACTGTCTAGAGTGTACCCTCCCATCATCTTCATCTGCTTGCTGCTTATAGCACCATTCAGGTAGGCAGTTTCAAACTCATCATCATCGTTGCTGACTTGAGCTGTGTTGGGTGGGACGTGGTAGGAGGCTGCATTACCACCGTACCTCTGCTGAGGGTGAGGGGGCTGGCGGGCATAGGGGTTGTAGGTGTCCCTTTGACCAGCAGAGCCACCTTCATTCAGGTTGTTGGAGGCGTAGGGGTTTGCATAGGGTGAGGGGTAGTTGCCTGGACTCGGTTGAGCAAAGCCAGGTGGGAATGTAGGATTCACGTTGAATGGCATGCCTATTGATGTGTGAAAGAAACAGAAGAATATAAGAAATCTCATACTAGTAACTGTTTTGAAATGATCAAGCTCCCTTTCCCCCACCATTCACATACATGCCAACATTTGAAAATCAGAAATCTGTACAAATTATGCTATTTTCAAAAAAAAGAGGAACAATCCTAACTCTCCTATTCAATACTACAGACAAATTTGTACAGGAAGAGGAACACCTGCATTCAAATGATAATTATCTTCTCCCAAAAAGAGGAATGTTCCTCTTTAATCTGAACAGTTGGCATGTATGCATTCAACATTAGGATGTAAATCCATACATTCATAGGAGAAACTGAAAACGGAGATTAGATCTGGGCAGGTTGATGAAAAGGAAAGAGCATAGGCATCATAGTTATCTTTACCTCATCATCTGTTTTAAATCTACATCTTTAGTATATTTGGAAAGGGTCACTACTTAACACATGAATCTGTACTTAATCTTAAATAAGAGAAACAGAAAGGTCATATCATGGTAAAACTATAAATTTTGATAATGAAAGATAAGACTGGACTTACCACGATTATATGGAGGAGGACCGTACATTGCTTCAGGTCCCATACCAGGGGATCTCCCAAAGGATGGGGCCTGACCTGGGTATCCCATGCCCATGGGTCTGGCTTGATTCCTGTACATAGGTGGGGCATTGTTATTGCTATTGGTATTGGTAGATGCCATGCCGCCTTGGCCTCCTCTTCCTACATCAAAGGAAGCTTCTGAGTGTCTCTCCTCCAGCTGGCTACGCAGTCCCTGGATCTGATTCTGCTGCTGATAGAGCTGGGTGTAGGCACTGTTCAAGTTTAGCATTAGTTGCTGGTGCTGCATGCGAAGATCGTAGTTCTGGACAAGGTCATCTAGGTGACCTTCTCCAGGAGGAACAAAGGGGTTGGGAGGTGTGGGGGTGGGCTGTAAACCACCATGACCAGCTGTCAATCAAGAACAAAAAATTGGTGAATTTTTGTGCGTGATTAATCAACATCTCAATAGACAGTTCCTCATTCTTACTCTGTAAATATCAATTTCTGCATTCCACTATGTTTTCTTATCATTCCAAAAGAAGCCAAACTTCAAACCTCCATAACTTGACCAAATTTCCTTTTTGACACCGAACCTTTAAAAATGTGATAAAATGTTATTGTGGGAATGTATCATTACAATACTATTTTCAGTTGACTAGATGTTTAAAAATATATACCCTAATTTCGCTAAATAATGAGTTCCCTTCCTGATAATAGGGATTATACGATTTGAGCTGGTTTACTTGATTCTAGGGATAAGAGAACATACCATTAAGAGATCCTGACAGTAGGTTGCTCATTGATTGTTGATCTGAGATAAGTGACTGACACATTCCCATGCTGTTAGATAGCTGTCTCTGCAGCTGCCCGATGTGACCTTGTAGAGCCTGGACAGTAGGGTCATCCATAGAGGGATCTTCATAGCCATCAGACACAAGCTCCTCGGCTGAACGGATGTTCTCCTGCCTACATGTACAGGATGGAACAGAACAAAATGATGGAACAATGAAGTTTAAACTTGAGAGTAATCAATTAATTCCATACTCAAACAATGACTTTCATTAAGGGGAGGATGGAAGTGGGTTTGTAGGAACATCTTTTGAGTTGAAGCCTAACATGATTGTATCATAATTCCTGAATATCAATCTCAATAGACTTTATGAATTCTTAGAGACATTACAATCCATATCTCTAAATTCTTGCAACGATCACACCTTTTTATGTTAGGTGGTAAGGTGGATTTTCTTGGGTTTTCCTTGCTTCAAAGACTGATTTAGTGTCTGATATTAATTAAAATTTAAGTTACATAAACTTCATTCCAACAAAGATCCTGGTTACCCTAAATAAAAATCCTCTGCAACTTAAGTGTCTCTTACCTGAGATGACTCTGCCTATCTAAAGCTGAGTTGATGTGCTTAGGATATCTAATACCATGCCTAGCTGCATCCATAGATGATGTCTCACCATCATCTTCCATGGTCACTCTCTTCACTCCTGGGTAAGGTAGGGCTTTTCTTCTCCTGCTGGGGGGCTTATCGCCCGACTCAATGGTGTACGTATCTGAGGTATCAATACTCTGCTCCTGTATCATATCAAACATAAACAATCAAACTTTTTTCACTCACTTTCAAATGGTAATCTCTGTGAAAGCAAATACAATGTAACAAGTTTGTATCCAATCCTACAAAATAGGCAACAAAAATATAATTAATTTTGTTAAATCTATGCTTGCATATCATTATTTACAAACTCTTATGCAAGAAAAAAATCTGTATCCTTACCACGACCATAGATGGATCATAAATTATAGAATATCAAATCATGAAACTCATGAGTGAATGAACATTAATATCAAGCTACAAAATAACTTGATGAATCACATCTTGTTTCATGAAGAGCAAAATGAAATGTACAATTACAAATAAAGAGAAATCCAAATACAAAAGACCCACCTCCTCCTCTTCCTCCACCTGTAAGATGCCATCGCTAGGATATCCATCTTCTAATCCTTCATCCTCGCTCACCTGCGTTGATCCACCCCATGTGGCAGCTGCTGTGATGTCAGCGCTACGCATACTCAATCTGCCGGCATCAAGCAATAATTCCCTGTTCAGTTTACAAATGAATAAGAGAGAAAGAGGGGGGGGGGGGAGAGAGAGAAAGGGGAGGGAGAAGGGAAGAGGAGGATAGATAGACCACAGAAACAAAAGCAAAAGGAGAGAAAATGCAAAGTTTTATTTTCAATGTATCCCATGCAGCGCCCCACAGACATACCAGTGCAAAGATTTCCAAGTACACACCAAAGAAAGAGCAAAATGACAGAAATAAGATATTTACTACAGGAAAAGAGTAAACTAACAAACTAGCACCAAAATAAATAGGACATTTTCTAAAAACTAATTTTTTTTTTCCTATTTTGCTATCACTATTGAGGCATTTCATGCATGGCTCATAAGTAAAAGGTAAAACCATTTCAGTCACAAAGAAAGCACAAAAAGATAGTTCCTCAGAAACAACAAAAAGCAGCTCACTCAACAAGCTAATGTTTACTCTGCACGATATATCTCTACCATAAAAATAATGATCTTCCTTCTCGATCAACAATCATTTTACTACAACATTTTCAAAATAAATAAACGTATTGATCAATATGAATGAATTTTTTTGCTGACTTACTTATTACCATAGCAATAATTATCTAAGCTCCTATGTAGATACAGTAAATCAAATTTGTGAAACATCATGGCAGGCAGAAAGGGAAAAAAAATGCCAAAATTGAAAATACAACTACTCAATACAGTTCTTCTCTATTTACAGCAGCATCACAATATGATAAACTACATCAACATGCACAGATGCATTCATGAATATATTGCAAGTTTTTACCTGATCATAATAGCCATATCTGATCTTAGTCTGGAAGAATCAATATAATAATTGTAGATTTTAATCATTATTTTAAAACGTATACCTCTACACAGCTTCTAGATATGCTATAGGGTTTGTTAGTAGCATTTGGATTTCCCAAAATGACATATTAGGAAAAGCGACAATCACCAAGTTCTTTCCCCTTTTACTAGACATTTTTGAAAAAGGGGTATATTGCACAGAGACATACAAGAAACATTAGAGAGGAGCTTGTTTAATAGAGGTAAGTTGAAAATACAGTGCAATATATATATATATATATATATATATATATATGAGAAGTAGAAAAGAAAGTGAACTTTTTCATATCAATTCAGTAATAGCAAATATAGGAAGTCTATTCAATTCATATTGCTATATTGGATATTTTCAAGATAGCAATTAACATTTTTCAGGACAAAATGAAATCATCGCTTACAAATTGTATTAACATTCAAACCAGTTAACTTGTTATGTTAATGTTAATTGTAAGGATGCTTAACTCATTACTAAGGTTGCAGATCTGGTTTTTGCTTACCTGAATAAATCATTGTCATACCCGGCTAAGTCTGTCTGAAGAGGATACTCAGATCCATCACGTAACCTCTGTTATCAAATCATAAGAAAAAGCAAATTGTCAACAAAGACATGTTTAAATCTTTGTATTGTTTTTATTGAAAATGGAAATAAATAAAATGAATTTGAATTTAAATCATTTTGTACTCATTGATAATAAATTCATTGCTTTAATTTTGTATTTAACATGCCAAAGGTATATTGCTAAGACAAAGCTAAATACAAATACAGAAATTTCGACTTGCCTTTGATATTCATTAAAGAACATCTATTCAATGAAATTGATTTCTCTAGTTAGACTGAATTATTATAATCATCCGTGTACACATACTGATCTAAAATTACCAGGCTGCATGTCTTCTGATCCCTTTTGCGTGTCTCAGACTAGGGGAGTGTTTCACAAAGACCAAGACCGACTTTAAGTTGGACTTAACTAAGGCAGGCCGTTCATGCCACTGTTTGCTCTCACCATTATGATCTTTAAATATTATTTTTTCCTTCAATTATGAATCATCAAAGAATGTAAATTCTGTAGATTTGTGACCATGATTTGTAAGTCCCTTGAGAGACCAATGCCAGTAAATGGTGAGAGCAAACAGTGGCATGAACGGCCTGCCATAGTTTAGTCTAACTTAAAGTCGATCTTAGTCTTTGTGGAATACTCCCCTGGAGTCTACAATGTATAGCTGCTCTGCATGCTTTCATGTACTTACCTCTCTGTTCATTTTGACAATGTGTAGTAGGTCAGAGAGCTCACTCTTCTTCTCTCTCAGTTCATCTTGAAGAGCTCGATTTCTCCTCATCTCAGAGTAGACTTCCTCACGACTGGGCGTAGCCACAGCTAGAATGGACAAAACAAAAATGAAGGGTAAGACAAAAGGAAGTTATAAATCACCTTGAACTGGTAATTTATGTTGGACTAGCAAAAGCTGTTACAGCGAGGAAGAATGGCTGTGAGACTAAATAAGGCACAAAGTGGCATATTTGCTTTGGTGCATAATTGCACATAAAGTTTACTAAATATAGGCACTGTTCCATACAACTAAAGGAACAGAGTGGTAAAATGTAGATCTAACTTTTGTTAAAACATCATTGTTCACGGTAAATGACTACATTGCAATACCAATGGTTTCTTTATTACACACTGTGTCAAAGTGAGTCTGATACACTAATAAATGAGAAGTATTAACAATTAAACAATTGGAGCATAAGCAGCTGGATGCAACAATAGGGAATTTATTATGAAAACTTACATTGGACATTAGTTGATGCATCTCTCTTAGTTGGTGGGATGATGTTTACCGATGTCACCCCAGGTTTGGCAGGTTGCTACAGAGAGAGAGAGAGAGAGAGAGAGAGAATATTATCATTAAATCATATTAAAGACTTGCATATAGCATTACTGATACCTCTCTGAAGCTTTATTTCCATACCTGCCAACATTTAAAAATGAGAATTAGGAATTTTTAGCACGGTATGCCTTTGAAAATGAGAAACCTGTACCCTTAACAAGCATTGGCACATGTAACTGACAATACGCGGTAAACCTGTACAAAAAAGCGAATACAAATTAGCCGTTCAATCATGCAGCCCTTCAACGCACACAATAGATGAACTCTAACATCGCAGCACATGATAAAACAAGCTTAATTTGGCTTTAAAAAAAAAAAAAAAAATTAAAAATCAATAACTAAATAAATTTTTTAAAAAATCACAATTTTGAAAAAACAGAATATTCCGGATTTTGGGGTTCTAAACATTATTCTTAAGGGTTTGCAGGTATGTGTTTCCATCGTCTTTCAAATAACGGTTCAATATCTTTTAGAAAACACGCATTGAACCTGCTTAGTTATTTGCATAATAATTTGATGTTAATATCCAGATCTAGACAATAATCGTTTTCGTAGCTCTTACATTCAATACACAAGAGAACAACAAATCCAAATGGAGCACATGCTTCTATATGATTCACAAAAACAAATATTGGGTGAGGAATTCATGAAAGAGTTAATAATCAGACAGTTGAAGAGCAGCATACCTTTCTGACAGGAGGGAGATTCTCATTGAGTTCCTTGAGCTGCTGTTGGACACCCAAGAGTCGATGTCTCTCAGACATTAGATTCTGAAGCTCCCGTCTCTGCTGATTCATCTTAGCCTCATAATAGGCTTCCCTGCAAACCATAACACACAAACAATAGAATCAATGTCATGTTAAACAAACATCTAACACATGGTGTTATAGCAGGTAAAACGTGAGAAAGATTCAGTGCACCTTTCAGCAGCTCAATGCAACAACACCATGTACAACCAAAGATAATGCAAAGCCTTACATCTTATCAAGTAAATCCACTCATAGATGAGTTCACCTCACTGATAAGTAATCTGTACATACTTGAATACATTACCATTTTGATTCAATGATATCAGCAATGCAATGTTCACAGTAAAAATTGCTCCCAAGCCACATGATGTATTAGTGCTTATCAGAACGCATTCCATAACACCGCATGAGTTTAAGTCTTTCAATTTTTCCTTTCCCCGTTTGCTAATGTAATCAATACGTTGACATTCCAAAGGTGTATTGACATTTCAGATTGTCTGGAATATGACTCAAGCGTTGTGTACACAGTATAATATTCATTCAGTGGCTAATACGGACCAAGGCCGGACAACATACCAGTACTTTATTTTGAGAACGGAATAGTTTGACAATAATCAAGGACAGTTGAATTCCACAATGAAACAAGATAAAGGGCAAAAAAAGGAATAGCCAAGGAGAAAAGGGAAATGGAGAAATGGTGAAAAGAAAAGAGAGGGTCTCAATCGAGCCCCCCAAGCCAAAGAAAAAAAGAAGTGAAAGAAAGTGAATGAAAATGTAGAAATGTGAGATTGTTGCCTCCTGTGGGTGGGCCTGGGTTTGGAGCCGTCTGTTGTTCGGTGTGCACTCGGGCCTCTCTTGCAATGGCTTGAGTGCACACTGGACAATGGCCCGGGCATGGGTTCGGTTGCAAGAGGTGACAGCTTTTACATTACTGGAGAGGACATTACTGCAGAGAAGTCACAAGTGGTGCACGTGCATACGGGGCAATTGAGTTACATGTGAGTTAATCATTTGATTATTCTTATAAATGTTACATTTATTTATTGTTATATATGTACATGTATCCTACTTATATGCTTGTTGAACAATTATTGATGTCCGTATGGATATTGGTAGAATTTGAGTGTGTAATGGGTTCTTGCAATGCAATCCTTTTTATAGTATTTGAGTGGTGTATGTGAATGTACACAAAGTGAAATCCTAAACTTGCATTTTTAATTTTAGTTGGTGGTACAATGTTTTATGATTTTACACAGATTAATGGTCTATATAACTGAATTTTATTTATTCATACCTCTGAATTTTGCTGTATGTTAATTGTAATATATGATGTTTTATCTCTCATAGGACCATAAAGACTGTATTGTACAAGGGCGTACGTTTAAGACAAGCCTTTTTTTTTTATATAGTATGGGCGGTGAGTGTTATTGGATTTTATTGTATTGAATGAATCTGTTGTTGCTTTTTTACACTTCAACTGTAATTTAGGTTTTGCTTAAGTGATGTAAGGCATTATATATGCGAAATGAAAAGTTTACTGTCCTTCAGCCGTTATATTAGACATGATATATTATTTAATTTAACCTATTCATTGAAGTCATGAAAATAATAGTGGTGATTATTTAGTTGATACAATATTTTGAAGCTGGTCTATAATAAACTTATTCACTGAACACCTTCTTTGTTGCTGGTACAGATCATGAAGTAATTGGTTATTTGAATATTTTGGTGTTTTTAATTTACATTTGTTTTTACTCTTGTGCTTCTACAGGGGCTGTTTTGTTGCCTTCAGAATAAAATAACCTTCCATCAACTGCAAAGCGTCTAAGAGTGATCTTATTGGCCTTTCTTTCAAAAAGAATGTGAAGAGGGCGAACGAAAGAGAGAAATAGGAAAAAAGAGAATGTGAGAGGATAAGGCAAACCAATGAAATGTATATAATCGGGAAATAATCCCTTTTAAAATATTCCAGTTTGAAATAGGTTGCCTTACCTTGTTTCCCTGACAAACTCTTCAGGAATCTGTTCATCTCTATTTGGCATCCTGTGGTCGCCTGTAGCACCTGCCATAGGAAGTTCACTCCCACTCTCCTCCACCGTTTCATCCCCCTCTTCCGTTTCGTCCTCCTCGTCCTCGTCGTCTTCCTCATCTTCATCGTCGTCTTCATTGTTTGATTCTGAGTAGTCTGCAGTAAGGCCAGCTGTAAGGCCTGCAGCCAGCTCAGCCAGGTCATCGGGCAAGGCTGAAGCCACTTCAGGGGTCTGTTGTACCATGGCCACAAGTGACTGGAGTTGGCGTAACTTATGCTTTGCCTCTTGAAGTTTCCTTCAGGTAGAGGGAGGAAATAGCAAAGCATGATTTTATTGCATTGCACATCACAGACAAGGAAGTTAAAACAATTACAAAGATAGATGAGATCAACAAAAAGGAACAACGCGAGACATTTACACGTTGTGATACATATCTAAAACCTGAAAAGTCAGAAATTATTACATATCAACTGCTGAAACCCAGAAGAATGTTTACTTAGACCATTTTACAAAGAGTTGGTGTCCTCTAGATCAGAAGGCAATTTTTAATTATCAAAGCAGGATGAATGGTTTCCATTCGCTCAAAGTAAGGATACCTTATATAAGAATTACATCACAGACTAGTGATCCTACCTGACTTTCTCTTTGATTTCTGGATCATCACCCCATGCAGCTAGTATGGAGCTGTGGTTACTCTCCGTCTCTGTCTCCGTCTCAGTCTCGGTCTCCGTCACTGTAGTGGTGGTCTGACCTGAACCAACCTGTACATAGGCACTATCTCCACCATATGACATCTGCAAAGTTAACAAGGAATTTGGGTTATATAAGCTATTCTCATTCAACATTTTCTACATATATATATATATATATATATCCTTTAAAAAAGAAACTCAATACAAGGTATTACATATCTACCATCTGTTGAGAGCCAGCAAGATGTTAACTCTCTATAAAAGCTTATAAATAAATGATCTCCTGGCTCCCAACAGAAAATATAGTCATCCTTTCAACGCAATAGAAAGAATGATTAATACAACAGAAATACAAAAAAATCAATACAGTCAATCAACTTTCTGACGATATAGTACACTGGCATACTCCATAAGTCACAAGCACATTAATCATTGTGATTGACAAGAAACTACACCTTCAATGAATGAAATGAATGGTTGTGACCACCAAGGCCTCCAAAGACTACCCTCACATTGAACACAATGAAGTAATATTCATCAATTCAATGCGAGACTAATGCTCGTGATTAATCAGCTAAGGTAACAGATGGTATCTTCACGCATGAGAGAACTTACATGATTTGGCCTCATCTGGACAGGTCTTCCTACAGGTTCACCTCTCTCTAATCTCCTGTAAATGACAAGAAAAAGAGAATACGGTTAGTATCTTTATTGTTATATTGTAAAGTGTGGAACAGACAGGCCAGCTAGCAAGAGAGCATTACCAATAATCATAATCATCAAACAAACTCTCTATGTACTCAAGTATGTACCATTTAAGGGGACAACAACATCTCAGGCAAAAATACAAACAAACAAAATACACAGGTCCTTCCCCGGGAGTAAAACATAGATGAAAGAGGGGAAAAAACATGGTCAAAAGATGAATATTTTTAAAGTAATGAGGAACGGATAAACAAATAGAATTAAGGAGTGAGAGAGAGAGAGAGAGAGAGAGAAAGGGTTGTCACATCCATACAATTTTTCTCTGTGCATACCTTAGATTGCTCATAAGAACAGGATCCTCATAATTGGCCCCTAGTCCCAACTGCTGCATTTGCTGTTTGCGTTGCGAATCTTCATCCTGGTCACCTAATACCTGACTTGTATCCTGGTATTGCTGTACTAGATCACGGAGCTCTGTAAGCCTCTCCCTTACATCGTGCAATTTTCTGAAAGGAAAACATATTCATGTTTAGTCTGACTATTTCTACTAAGTTCCATGTGGCCATTCATGGAACAAAACTGTCATCTAATGTAACTTCACATAAAATGTAAAATATAATTAACATTATTTCTTATCCAGTTACTATTAACACCATCTCATATTTTCTAAGTGAGCATGTTCAAACCGAAATTACTACTGTATCATATAATTTTAATTAAATTTAAAACTATGGCATGAATAATAAAAGAACAATATTAGCTCACTTTAATTACAAAATTAAAACAAAAAATTAATAAATACATAAACAAACAAAAAATAATAAAAGATTAATGACAAAAATAAGTAAAAATAAAACATCATTGTCTCCTCACGACAACAGAAAACTATGATGGGCCCTGTCTGAATGGGTGAGATAAAAACAACACATTATTCAGTATTCTTTTTGTTACCTGATGCTTTCTGTTCCATTGGTAAGAGTGGCTTCATTTTCATCCAATGACTCGTTAGGTTCTTCACACGGCACCATCAAACCGCTGTATTCATTGGCATTTGAAGTGGTAGATGCTACGCTTGATGTATCACCGACTGTATTTATAGAACATTTGAATTCATATTACAATTTAATTCATGAGAAGTAAATTCCTGTACTGCAATTCATTAGGTCCGGTAAAATGGCAAAACAATATGGTAGAACAAAAATCAAATGATAGCTGATACTAATTTCGACCCTATTTGACGTTGGGTCTTTATCAATACCTCACATTGTCCATTTCAAGGGAAATCTACTACATGTATATAATTTACATCTTCATAAGCAGATTACTGATCTTACTAATGGTTTAGAATCATTCGCTATTGAAATTAATCCTCATCCTTTGCAAATGAAGACATGCATTCAAAAGTACAAAGATTAAACGCCATGACAAATAATAACAAGTTGAGTGAGCAATGACATACCCATATTAGCCATATCAGGATGAAGAGCATGGAGCTGTATAAGAAGATCATCCATCTGTCTCTTCTTCTGCTGTAAAGCTTCTAGTTTATCTCTCAATTCTGCATGCTCTGATGATACCAATGGTGGACTAACCTAGAAACGCAACAATACAATGATCTTGATGAATATGTTACAAATCTCTAATTAAACCTGAATCGGTACAAGCTTTATGCAGAAAAGCTTAAAAATGATAATGACAATACTATAACGTTCTTGTATAGCACATATCACATCATAATATAACATCTCTATGCGCTTCCAAAAAAAAAAAATATTATTACCCCACCTTCAGCTCCTGCAACCATAGTGTACCTTATGGTTCACAGTCCAGAGACATATCCACTAGACTACAAGATTTATCCATTGAATACTGAACCATAACTTGGGGTCGAGTCCACGAAAAATGCAAGTTATACCTCAAACAAAAATTCCAATTGATAATGATAAAGGGGGTCACGACACATAATTGAGAATACCATATTTATAACCTATTGCATACAAAGATGAATGAAAAAATTCCTGATTTCTATTACCCAACTACATATATCTATAAAGTTGCATCACAGCTTTCAATAAGGGGTTCCTTTTCTCACGAATGAATCATCTGGTCCTATTCCTCTGCAGAACAATGAAAGAACAAAGTCCACTATCAGTCTTACCTCCTCCTCTGCCTGTTCCATCCAGTCGAGAGCCCTAGCCTGCTGGATCTCTCCTGATCTTGTATCACTCTGTTCAGCTAGCATACGCATCAGAGTTCTACGTCTCTCCTGAAGGTCTTCGGCCGTCAGAGGAACACCTGTTGCAAACCGACCAGCTGTTGTCATTAGCGGCTCGGTGTCCTCAGTGACAGAGGTGCCGGCAGTCGTTGTAGTTGCCTGAGTACTAGTGACAGAACCTGCAGGATCAAAATGAATTCCATTAATATATTGAGTAACCATTCACTAGCAGTTTTATTTACAATATATAAATTAGCAGGATGCTGGACTAGGAGTTCTGCTTCACATTCTCTTAACTCGATTCAATCTCTCATAATTTTCTTTTTTCCAGATAATTGAAAGGTCAAAGTATGATTGCAATATTATGACAGGATTAGCAGTATCTGTCTACTAATATAATACACTTTTATAAAAAAGTAAAACACAATATTTGACCTTAATCATCTAATACTAAAAATCAGAGTCATCTTTGTTTTCGTTTTTAAAAAAATTTAATTCATAAATATCACTTTATCAAACTTGTACAACAAAAGAGACATAATAGCCCAGGACAAATCTAAATAATTGGTAGATGTAGGGCATAACAAAATGAATGTCACTTTGTTGTCTTAATTGATACTGATTAATGTTCAACTGACCAGATATTTAAGATGATACAGAACTTGTTTGCTTATGTTTTACCTGTTTCTTCTGCTCTTTCCTGCTCTGAGTTTGTCAATCTGCTCTCAATCTGAGTTTGTAAGGTCATCAATGCTGTTTGTCTGTTCTGAAGTGTTCTCAGCTAATAAAAACATAACAAATTTCAAAGTGATGATTTATGTTGCAGTAGTCTACATCAAGTTTACATTTCATCACACAATACACATTTTTCATTCATATGCATTTACGTCATATTTAATCATTTTTCACAAATGAAACATGTCACACATGATGGTATAGACATTTGCATCTATATCTCATCCTGCAACTGGAAGGATAAAAGCTACATATCATTAAACTGTTTTCCACTACTACTCCTCAGCTAAACAGTATGTTCTATTCTAGTATGTGTAGTTTACAAATATATTTTGCAAGACAGATGTGATGAAACACTGCTATATTATCAGTTCATGATTTCTGGTTAACATTTACATTTTGAGGACTATGAATAAAATATGTATTAAATTAATTTGTCAATCATACCTCTTCCTGCTGTTTAAGCATCTTCCGTAATAGATCATGTTGCTTCCTTAATCCTTCGAGGGTCTCTATCTGCTCAGAGACATTTTGCTTTGTCTGTTGGCCCTGCATGCAGAATATAGAAGAAACTATTAAACACTAAGAAGAATGAAGTATTGTGACAGGAAAATGACAATAGTTTATTCAGCATACCTATAATTCAAACTGTAATAATGGAATATGGAACTATTAAACACTAAGAAGTATCAAGTATCATGACACGAAAATGACAAAAGTGTATTCTACATACCTATAAATCAACCCCTGAGTGAGTTTAGTTAACAATCAATTTCTTCTTCATAATACTTGACATGTACACTCCTCTAATGAATGTCACCTCCAAACCATGCATGTATATTCCATTCATTAGAATTCAATCACACTGTATCTCGATCCACACTCATGAAGCATATGGATCTAATCAAAATATCATATCAATTATGATTCACAATGAGTCCTTCTACTATTATTATTACTATACTACATGACACACACTGAATGATGGCCATACAAATGGTACCATTAAAAACGCATAACAAAGCATGCATTGTATTATGCTTGACTGATTCTACCGGAATACAGCTACCTACAACAGATGGAATACAGTCATGTTCATTCATGCATGAAACCTCAAAATATCCCAATGGCAATGGTGTGGAACCTTCGCATAAATAGTAACACCTGTGTTTGAATAGTAACACCTTCAATCAAAAAGCAGCTACTGCAGAATAGCTGGAAGTATTTATTAAAAACTCAGACACAACACTTGATTCTATATTCAGATTCCAGTGTTGTGTCTGCATTATAAATGGAATATAATGGATTCTGAATATAGAATCTAAAAGATGGCTGTTTATGCTGCCTATGTGCAGCCAGAGACTGAGCAAAACACAATTTTTTTCAATGGAAATGTTATCAGTGATGGAGTGACAAATGAATGAAGTATCTGAAGTTTGATTTCTATCCAATACAATCATTAAAATAAATTCTACCCAAAGATATTTCACTAAATAAGTCTTAAACAGGAATGATGACATTTCTTTCTTTAAATGATTGAACTTTCAGATGTGATACATATAAATGAAAGCATGACAAAATATGCAATAGCAATGTAGAACTGAACTCATGATTATCCATCGACAAACCATTCTGTACAGAAGAATTTGCATTAAATTTTGTTTTGTTAGAATGTCAATTTTTTTTTTTACCCAAAGATCTACATGTCTGAATGCACTGAATGTATTGATATGGTTACCATAGACACATTCCACTTTTATAAATTGAATATACTTATCAATGGTTGGACAGGATTTCCTGAACTAATTGGCTCAAAAGATTAATGGGAATTTTAGCTTAAAGGTACAGAAAACTAATTTATGTGTGCATGTATAAGAACAGAATGGAGCTGAAAATGTGTTTTTGGCAGCAATGGTAATTGTGTGTATGTTGGTCATGAAGTGAAAAATATGCATATTCACCATTTTAATACTATATATTGTGAGTCAAAAAAAAGTTTACACCTAGAAAATTGCTAATGATTTTATAAATCATCTATGAACAGTAAATTATTATACATCTTATGAAAGAGTGTTTTATCCCGAATCATTTTTGTATGGTATGTGTTTACGCTTGGATGAACAGGAGGCATTTTTTGCGAGAGTGCAAAAATCGACTTGCGCCAAAGTTGACTATGTGATGTTTGAATAAAACAATTGGGATTTGGGTATAAATTCGGTCACTGCAGATCCAAATAACATCCCTAACAAATTAATCATGCCACACATATCAAATATCAACAAACATTTGTGCGCGTGTGTGTGTGTATGTGTGACTTTGTTTCTGCAAAAAGCATATGCAATGCATCTCATTTCGATATTCAATTCATTCTCTCACTTTAATCCCAACATATCACATACTGTAGGCATCACTTTGGCGTAGGTCGATTTTTGCACTCTCGCAATTAGTGCCTCTTGTTCATCCAAGCGTGAACACATACCACACAAGAATGATACCAAATGATTTGGGATAAAACGCTCTTTCATACGATGTATAATAATTTACTGTTCATACTTTATTTTTTGAATAATTAGCAATTTTCTAGGTGTAAACTTTTTTTTGACTCACACGGTATGTTAAAACACTTCATTCATCCTCTAATATAACTATGTTTAAACACACTGTTTTATTACTTTATTAAGAAAAGAAATTGTTAGCAAGACTGTCATCATTCATGCTGATACATATTATATTGTCTATGGTCACTCATGTAAACAGACAGCCGTTAACTTTAAAACGTATTTCAATACAAGCAAGACAAATCTGGGTCAAGTTGCATGCTATAGTGGTCCATTATTCACACATATAGGGACTAATCACAGACAAGAATACCTGAACTACCAGAACAAGTTTTCAGAAACAATGGCACACTGCAAGCATTGTAAATATGGGACAGGAATATCAAACAAATATAATTCTATCACTGTCCAAGCATTTTTTGTTTAAAAAAAAAATCAATTTCATCATCTATTTTCAGCAATGTGCTACTTTCTTTTCCATATCAGTGATAATGTGCAAGCAATTGGGTGAATTGACTGTTAGTGAAATAGTGAATCTACCCTGGGACCGAAACCAGGGATAAGGTGCTTTCCAGAATGCCATGTAATACTCCAAACAGAATGAAGAAGAGAAATGATCTAGTGATCTGCATCTAGAGTTGCCATTGTTTGTTGAAAATTGTTGAAATGACAGATCAGCAAAAAAACAAACAGACGAATAGACAGAAGGAAGCTACAAGAACAGGTAGTAAACTACGAGCATGCCAACATGTGAAGAATGAATTATATCATGTTTTACTTTCTTGAAAGTATCTTAATATTCGTGCTTCGCCCAAAAGTATTTTAAGATTCCCAACCACCAATTCCAAATTTGTAAAACCATACACACATGTGAAGTATAAATCAAGTGATGTTTTCTTTTCTTGAAAGTATCTCATTATTTGTGCTTCTCCCAAAAGTATCCAAAGATTCTCGACCACCAATTCTAACTTTGTAAAACCACACACACTTCTAAAACCTGTTTCTCAAAAATCCTGGATCAACGATCAAGAAACTCATATGCTTCATTGAATAATGGCTTTGATAATGGACAATTCTGTTTTCCTTTCTTGCATGATCTCATTGTTCAAGTGAAACATAGACAGCGCGTGAAATCTTTGTTAGATGTTTCATGAATACTCAGTTAGGCAGTGTAAAATACAAAATACAATATATATTTGTACTGTAGCCTCATGAGATGACATCAGAGTTCCAACAATGGACTTATATCATGAGAAAGCACCGTTAATCCCTGGAGGCCGGCCCCAAAGGTACATGTGATGCGTACCTCCTGAAAGCTGTATGAAGAATTGGAAGACATTTGAGAAGATGTGCTCTCATCCTGTCCTTCATTCCTAGATAGGGTAATCCTTTCCATGGCAGCGCTCAGGTTTTCTTCACCCCCATCCTGGTACTTCTGTAGCATGGAGCTGTACTGTTCATGAAGCTCTTGGGTGTCCAAGCCAAAGGAACCACTGGCGTAGCTACTGACTGACCGAATGTCATCCAGCTCGGAATCGCTGATATCGTTGTCGCTTGCGCATGAGTGATTGCCAAGGTGGCTTTCAATTTTGGGACGGGTGCGAGCTGTGAAAGTACCCTCCTAAAAATACAATGCATGTTATTATTTATCAGCTTGGGAATTTACCACACCAGCAAGCTCTTGAATGAACTCAAGCATCATGCGAGGCTATGGAATGGAAGTAAGGCATACTGGATAGTTGGAAGGAGGAACTAAATCTGTTCATGTCAAACTTACTGAAGCCAGTATGTCATCAAGAATCATTCATGAAAATTGACCTATGATTTGACAGGCAATTTGAAAGGCATTTATGAAACTATTGGGCTTAGCTTGAAAAGTTTGACATTAACAAGATTTATTTCCTGCAGGATTGCTTAATCATTCTAATGCCAGCAACTGAAAATAAGCATATGTAACTTTGCATTAAGAAGTTTACATGAGCAACTTTGATTGTTACAGATACATCAAAATATATAATATTTGGCACTCACGGTAGTAGCCTCTGAAATATCTGAACGTGCATCTAGGTTGATTGATGCTGATTCTGCTACAGATGTTGCAAAGGATTCTCCAGAGTTCTGACTGCTCCTGCCTTCAACAGCTGCATCCAAGCCATTGAGATCATTACTTGTGACCGATGACTCCATCCCAGAGATAGAGCCAGCTAAGCTGAGCTCCTCAGCCAGCATACGCTCCAGCAGAGCCAAGTAACCTCTTTCTTGCTCCTGGAGGTGTTCCTGGAGCCGGCTTAGTTTGCCCACCTGGTCGTCCTTCTCTGGACTCTCTATAGAGTTCTGTAGGGTAGACATCATGGCATTGGCCTGTTTCACATAATCCTGAAAAATTGAAGACACGAGTCGATGAAACACATGATAGTGGGCAAATGTAGCACAAAATATGTCAGCTTGAAAAACAAGTAACCTGGATACAAAACAACTATAATTTGTTTATTACTATACAATGCTCTCTCCCCCTCCCCCCCCCCCCCCCCCCGATAAAAGGGTTCCTATTTAAGGATTGTTGAACTTGAAAATCTAATCTTGAAAACTCTACGTTTGATTATCATTTGCAGAGCTGCCAACCTGTCACATTAAAAAAACATATTATTCAGCTTGAAAAACCATATTTTTAGGTGAAAAACCATATTTTGCCTGTTTTAACGGTTTTTGTTATTTTCCCTATAAAATGCTACTGCAATCATGTTTCTTTGAATAAAAACGCTTTCAATCATTGAGAGCTGCCGACCTGTCAGTTTTAAAAATTAAAAAAATTTAAAAAAAAAAAAATCATTAAAAAAATGATTAAAAAAAAGATATTTAGCTATTTTATCAGAAAAGTCCATTATTTAAAACTAAAAGAATCATTGTGTGTTGCGGCGCAAGGCAAGTCTAGAGTTGCAATCAACTTTGTACATAAAGTCAATGCATCAGCAGGTCCGTGTTTATTTTTCATTTGGCTTTTTGAAGATACCATCACATTCGAAGGGCTTGCGATAGGCAAAAAAAACTGGTAAACAAAATCGCTGATTTCTTGATTTTTAGCGCTTTTTTGGTGAAGCTGTTTCTTAAAACTGGGCTAAGCCCCCGTGAGCTTTAGAAATATGGCTCCGATTCCGCATTTTTGACAGCAAAATTTGGCTTTTGGGATGGATTTTTGGTAGTAAGATCGTGACTTTTTTGTACTGACACTGTGTGTGTATTGCAGTGCACTGATGATATATGTCATTAGCGTGTGTATGGATGGCCTGGGGAAATGCGCTCGTCTTTGAGTGGTGTACATCCCCTGTATTGTGTGCAATGTACATGCGTGCGCGCTGCAGGAATCGCCGACACAAAGCAATAGCAAAACTATGCATACGCTGGATCTCACAGCCAGCCGCTAGCCACGTTCGCACAGCCATACACGAAACTTTCAAAAAACGTATTTTGGCACAGCAAAACGTACAGACGTATTTTCCCCCCAAAAAACGTATTAATACGTTAAAAACGTACTACTTGGCAGCTCTGCATTTGAAAAATGAAAGGATTAAAACATGACAGTTTTGAGGAGTTATGTGAGCAACGATACATAAATTGCTTGCATTACATCAATAAATAAACACTTACCCTTATTTGCATGAGTCTGGCTACAATCTTGTTTCGATCAGGCTGAAAGAAAAAGAGGTGAATTCTTTTATGTTTGCATTTCAAAAGAAGTATTCATAAGATGAAATAATGCAGCTGATAAGACAAATTCTCATGAACTTAGAATCTAAAAAGTTGATGATTATTATTTCCTATTAAATGAACCTGTTTGATGAACTGGCAGTTATGAAGAAGAGAGGCAACTTAGACTGTTATCATGCTTATTTCTCTCCACCTTACTCATACTCCCAGTCCAGTCTTTGTATATGTAAAACCGCTCATGTAGGGAGGGAATATGTTGTGGTAATTTACCTTCTCATTGACGAAGATAGTATCCAGTAAAGAGGGAGGTCTTCTGGTGCCACTTTCGATGGATGCTACATCATCACCTAGTCTCATGTTGTTCACTCTATTAGCAATGCTAACTGAACCCAAAGCTTGGCTGTCTGTGCTTTGCTGTGAACAAGCAAAACAGGAGAGAAAATGTATGACCTCTCATGAAAATGTCATCTTTAGGTGCAATAAAAATTGCTCAATCTAAAAATAGACATAGGATTATCGGAGTGTCACTACGATGATAATCAAGACAAGAGGTGCCATCATAAGTAGTCCTTTTTTCATGATACATTGACTGTATGGCTCATTAGGGTCATAAAAAGAAGAACCGAGTTATTTCTCAAGAATGGATAAGAGAATAACCACACATGAATTTTGTTTTGAAGAGGAGCATTGGGCAACTGTTACTGTATATCATCATTTCAAATTACATTTAAGACACACTACTCCAAGGCAGGAACATAATAGAGAACACTTACATCATCAACATCACTGTAAGTCAGCTGTTGACGGAGATTCTCCAGCTCCTCTCTGTCTAAAAGGGAACTAACATGTTGTGTTCTTGGGTAGGTTGCTGGTGTGCGACGGCGGGAGGGACCATTACTCATCATAGCAGCACCTTGCGTATCCTGTTTTAATAGATAATAGAATACATCAAAAAGTTCCTCATTGACAATTTCCTCCACAGAAGTGCAATTTCTTTCAGGGAAAAACAGTGGTTAACTTGTGAATAAATATCATGTCTTTGACTGCCACAAACACTCATTGGAATTTTCAGGCAACAATACCATTTAGTAAGTGAAAGTAAGAATTTGCCTATGTTGTAGTTTTTCTTCTAGGGGTATTTTGTTAAAAAACTTTGAGGAAAATTATCTATAAATTCCCTTTTGTGAAATAAAACAAACTTTACCTTTACACTGATTGTCTCAATATCTCAAACGATTTGGATGGGAATTTTGTCAGAGCCACCAAAAATATTACATAGACACTTTAGAACTATAAATCATGTTCATTATTTCTACAATTATTCCTTTTAAAAAGGGTAGCAAGCTTTCATTCATGTTAACCTTTCATTAAAAAAGGCAAGAAAGATCCTGAAAATGAATAAGTATAGAGTTTGGACAACATGAAGAATTAGCAGGACAGGTTCTTAGAATACACCCACGAACTACTTACAGCCTTCACAGAGATGTTTTGTTCCCTCTCCTTGTTCTTGGACTTTTTACTACGAACAACAGTTGAAGGTTGCTCAGCAAATGTGGAACTTGGTTTCCAATTGTACTGAAATGAATAAAAGTTGCAAATAATCAATACTTCAAATGTGATCTGTTATTGTCTGTTTGCCATACAATATTAATTGCTTTGATCCTATCAATAACAATTATTCCTAGGAGTACCTGTTGCTTTTTTCAGACCAATGACTATTCCAATAAAACTCTTATATTTCATTAGAATATCAAATCACTGATAAAGAGCAAATGAATTTGAACTTCCTCCTATAGGTGTGAAGCCATAAAATACACACGTGTATAAGAACCTCGAACAGCACTGCCCATTCTAAATTCCCAAATCGATACAGAATGAAAGTGTTCTAATTTTCACAAATGATATGAAAATGTATGAAAAGAGAGTATAGTATTGTACAACACAATGGCCCAAATTCACAAAGGAGGTTTGTCGACAAACCTCCCTTGTGAATTCGGGCCAATTAGTCCCACAGCAACCTAGCAGACTAAATGTCCAAATTCCTTTTAAAGGATGTAATTTGAAGCTCACAGAAATTAGCTGCACAAACTTCACCTGCTATTTAAACTACTTTTGAATACTCACGTAATTATTTGGCTTGCTCTCCTCCTTCTCACCACCTATCAAGTTGAAAAGGAAGTCATCCATGGGCTGGGTAAAGTTGTACCTGGGTACAGCATTGCCCCTAGGCTCAGACATCACACTCCGATGAAGCTGAGGAGCCTTGCTGGCTGCCATGCTGTTTAGGATGGCAAAAGAGGAGCAGTGCATGGGTAAGGGAAGGAATATCAGCAGAATGGGGTGGGGCAGGAAATGAAATAGAAAGGAAAAATGATACCAGGCAGTGGCAACAAAAATGATGTTTATTCAACATGACAGCTGAGAATGAAAGTACTTGTGCTAAGATTCATATAACCAAGTTTTGAGCCAAACTTCTATTCGCAAATGAAGTTACAGCACCGATGGAAATTGAGATTTGAGAATTTGTTGGCATTTTTGTTGTTGCTGATTCTATAACTTTTATGGCTTGCGACTAATAAAAAAACCTAGCCATAATCCTACGGTAAGTTTTCTGATTTATACCACGGTTGTGTCGACTTTGTTTCCTACTACATGTACCTAACTTTAGCACCATGCTCTGGAAATATAGCGCAGATTCTGTATTTTTGACAATAAAACGCAAATTTTAAAGATTAATTTTCGGAGGTCACATTGGGATTTTGATGTGGTGTTACTTTCTGTGTGTGTAAAAACTGTAATGGTTTGATTTGTGTTTCTAACGTTTGAATAAGATTTCTAACAATCAGTTGGTATCACTTTTACTCATAATTTTAATGACATCTCTCAAAGTGGAGATTTCCAGACCCTTGTCGGCAAGTTCATATTTTTTAAGGATGTACATTAACAGACTGTGCAAACTTGCCTGATCTTTTGTCAATATTTTCTGAATTTCACAACCAATTCAAAAGAAACTTCTGTCTCTAAATGACAGATTAGGTAATGTTGTTCCTCTTTTAATTGGTGATAGATCTAGACCTATTACTTATTAGATTTTTGGAATAGGGTCTAGAGTAAAGGAGGGGGTTTTCAGCCACTTAAAGAGAAGGTTGAGTTCTGGGAAGAGGTGAAAAATAATTTGTGAGCGTTATCATTCTTATTATGCAAGTGTGGAAGAACATCAGATAAGACATGTTCCCTGAAAAGCATGGCTCTTCAAATGCCTTCCTATTCTAAATATGTCATGTAACATCGTAAAACTCCAGGGTAGGATTTTTACGCCACTTGTTCGTGTAGTCCCATATACATCTTTCTGTGTACAGTGTTTGTAACTTTACCAAAACTTGGCCAAATTTCTTATTATTTTGATGATTCCAGAACCTTGCAATACACACAATTCTTATATGCTAGATGATCAACCTTTTCTGGTCGATTCCACACCGTTTCTTTCACAATGCAATCGCATGACCAGAACTCAACTTCATCTTAAAGACAAAATCCCATTTTTTGGACTCTTTACTAATTCCTATTTATTATCATTTCTTGTTCAAATCATGAAGCAAATATCATTATTTAAACAAAAAAAAGAATCCCAGAAAAAAAATCATGAATTGCCATGACAATATTCATTTCAATTTTCACTGTTTCGGAGACAGTTATCGGCCTAGCGAGACAGTTTTCGGTCGCATGTACAAAGTCAATAGGAAGCGCGCGCGCCGTGCGTTTCCCCGCTGATCTATAGCACTAGCGGGTGGAGCAGGTATCCCACGCCAGAGCTCGCCATGCCGAAAACTATTTCTGCGGTGATCGGAAATTGGAATCTGAATTAGACAGAGATATCATGTGTGCGCTGCGGTGTCCGGCTGCATTGATTTAATACATGTGATGAGATACTTTTGAGCTTGTGACTCACACAAAATCGGGCTCTAAATCTGAAAAATACTTGAACTAAAGCTCATTTTATGGTACCCATATAACATATTCCTTACAGCCACGCGTAAGATACTAGATTTTTGTGGTTCTTCATTGACTCTGGCATTGTATTGTATGGTATGTGTGGGATTATGTGATATGCTATTAAACTTCTATGCGATGTATTTTAAAGGGATTTTACCATGCATCCAATGGACCGGCCGAAAACTGTCGACAGTCGATTACCCCCTCCCTTACTCTACCAATTTGTCAAATTTTTGTGATATGGAAGGGTGAAAAACGTCTGTGAATTAGGGTCAAAGTAGACCGAATTTTTCTGTCTCTTTCGTTCGTTAGCCTCTGATTTGGGTAGGTCGGCTCTCTCTTTAGAGACAGAACAGCCCCATACGCTGTAGTGGCCGCGCGTTTGTACTAAGAAACGTTACACAAAACTTGGCCAAACTTAATCCCTAATTTTTATATTTTACCGGATGCGTATCCGATGCATTTAAAGTCCTAAATTAGCTAAATACTTAACTACTTCGGTTCCACTTACCAACTTGACTGGAATAATCCGTTTAATGGTCCATTTTTAGGAAATTATGGGTCAAGATCGACATCCATGAAGAAAATCTTGCAGCCGAGTCTCATTCTTTCTAGTCTACGCCGAAGGCAAAATGATTATAACGGAAAAACTGTGCACGAGCTACGAGTTCGTAATGACATGCACAGTTTTTCCGTTATAATCATTTTGCCTTCGGCGTAGACTAGAAAGAATGAGACTCGGCTGCAAGATTTTCTTCATGGATGTCGATCTTGACCCATAATTTCCTAAAAATGGACCATTAAACGGATTATTCCAGTCAAGTTGGTAAGTGGAACCGAAGTAGTTAAGTATTTAGCTAATTTAGGACTTTAAATGCATCGGATACGCATCCGGTAAAATATAAAAATTAGGGATTAAGTTTGGCCAAGTTTTGTGTAACGTTTCTTAGTACAAACGCGCGGCCACTACAGCGTATGGGGCTGTTCTGTCTCTAAAGAGAGAGCCGACCTACCCAAATCAGAGGCTAACGAACGAAAGAGACAGAAAAATTCGGTCTAGGGTCAAAGGAGAACTAAGTCTATCACTGTAGCCATTTATTTAACAGAGCTATCCAAAATAGTGGCATATTGCCATTGCCGGTGCTGGTGTGCATCGAGACATGATGATGATGATGATTGTGCTGCACGCACAGTTCGTGTGTTGATGGCTGGCTGCAAAGGGAGCAGTGCCAATCCAATGGGACACTTTTGCGCACATGAAATAATCTTTATCAAACTCTAAAAAAAATCATTAAAATACCGTTCAATATTTGGGAACCTTTTCGCTTTAAAGTTTAAATCGACACATTTATAAACGAATTGCGAATTTGCCTTCAGCCCCGGACCGGTACCCGGCGCCTCGCCTTGCGCTCGACGCTGTGTCTCGCGCCGCGGCAAAGTGTATCCCGAGAGGAACTCCCCGATATGATGATGTGATCCACCTTGCATTTGCCAGGGAGCAGATTCTAAATTGTACTCTCAAACTATGCACGAATAATTTGGGTTTGACAATTATATGACAGGAATGCTAATAATAATCTACCTCAATTTATTCACGGTTGTTATGGTACAAGTTTAAAGCATTTTTACACATCAAGAAGCGATAAAAAACGTAAAACATAATGACATGTTTGACCTTTCATGTCTGCAAATTTTATCAAGATGGCGCTATGTCACCGCTTGCAAACACCATGACAACCAGCCACTTTAAATTACATGTTATGCAAAATTCTAGCCTTAACGAAATTCATAAATTTAAAAAAATGAAAGTAAAACATACCTTCTTGACAGCTGAAGGTGTTTCTCAGCTGGAAATGCCTCTGTTATGGTCTCAGGAGCTGCAAAGTATAGCTTTACGGGCACTCTCACTGAGTTACACACAGTTTAGATTAGGCAGCCATTTTGTGCTCGTCTAGGGAAAAAATCGAAAACCTAAACATTGCGCCTGCAATTTAGTATCAGTTCGCCTATCAATTTCGTATGCAAATTTACAGAGAAAAATATACTAGCTTTTGAAAATAAATATCCCTCACAAGATTAACGATAAAGCTAACTTTATACATCATATATCATTTTTTTCATCTATCCCGTACAAATTTTAAATCAAATTATCATAAATTTGGAGCTACATGATAAGTGACTTGTCACAGTTTATTCAAAGGAGTGATAAGGCATACTGGCGCGCGTCTAATTTTCTATTCTCATTGGCTAGCGCATGTAGCCGTAACTACTTTTCTTACACGGATGACTTCCGGATTCAATAGAAAACCAGTGGCAGTGTTTTTAGCAGACAACTCTGCATCTGAATGGTAATAATTGTGTAAGTAATATGTTTAGCGAACTACTAGAGTACTATTATACTACATCTAATGCTTTGTTATCTCATTATTTATTCAGGTTCCATTAAGTTTAACGTAGCTTCGTCAGTGATTTTATTTTAAACCATTTGTCGTGCCAGCACCGCACTCCAGGCTCTCACAAGCTCAGGCCCAGCGCAGCGACACAAATTGGGATCGAGAGAGACCGCGACCGCAGTAGTCTCGGCATAGCTAGCCATATGAATCTCGGACGAGCTTAGATGGACTTAGACCGAATTTTCCGTCTCTTTCGTTCGTTAGCCTCTTATTGGGGTAGGGTCGGCCGGCTCTCTCTTTAGAGACGGAAACCGTCTATACACATTCCCTTGATAACGCCACGGCCATTTCAGGTCGTAGCGTTTTGCCCCCAAAATCCCCCAAAAAAGGCAAAATGTCATTTTACCTCGTGCATTTTATATTGTAAATTAGGCCTAGGCTATAATAAATCAGTTCCACTTACCAACTTGACTGAAATAATCAGTTTAATAGTCCCTTTTTAGGAATTTATGGGTCAAAATCGAAATCCATGTTGAAAAAGATTTTCAAAATGGATTTCGATTTTGACCCATAATTTCCTAAAAAGGGACTATTAAAGTTATTTCAGTCAAGTTGGTAGATCTAAGTGGAACTGATTTATTATAGCCTAGACCCTAGGCCTAATTTACATGTGGATATGCACGAGGTAAAATGACATTTTGGGGGATTTTGGGTCTAAGACGGTCTAAGATGGACTAGCCTCTCCCGACTCAGTGCAGTGCTGGTCGGCTTCTGTCTCTTTCGTTCGTTGGCCTCTGATTTGGGTAGGGTCGGCTCCTCTCTTAAGAGACAGAAGCCGACCATAGGGTCTGCTCTGTAAACTCGGTGGCACAGATTTGACTAAAGAGAGAGCCGGCCGACCCTACCCCAATAAGAGGCTAACGAACGAAAGAGACGGAAAATTCGGTCTAAATTGGGTCCAGCCTGCGCCTGGCCATGCATGTCATGAATGATGTGTACGCAAATGAAGACCGAAAGCTTCAGTCTCTGATATCGAAGGTTGTTCCGCTGAGATTCAGAGCTACCAAGTGTCACGCATTCAGTCTCTGATATCGACGGTTGCTCCGCTGAGATTCAGAGCTACCAAGTGTCACGCATTTCGAGGGTCTGAAAACGCTCTCACGCACAACGCACGTGATTTAAAAAAAAACCTTTACGCTATACCCTCGCATGCATGCTCGCGCGCCGCATCATGAAAATGTCACGTATAGCTGATCTTTGAACGTGGCGTCTCTGGAGATTACATCTGCCTCTATCATCTATGTGTATGGGGAATGGTGACAAATGTCAGTTTTATTAAAGAATGACCCCATAGACTATGGTCTAGATCTATGGGTCATTGTTTAGGTAGTTTAATTAAACTGACATTTTCTGGTCCTAGAAATAAAAAAAACAACAGAATATTCTGAATTATTCGTAAGGGTTGGCAGGTATGGCATTGTGTGCACATAGCTTATGCAGCGGCGTAGTCTTTGTGTGTGTTGACCTCAAATCAAACTTTCATTGACTGGTGTATAAATTTCATTTTGAGACAGAGAATGTATTTTACTCGAATATGAAGTAAAAGACTTGCAGAAATTTGAGTAGAGGTCTACTGCAATTTTTGTGAAAATTAGAAAATGCAATATTGTTTTTAATATAAGGAAAATAATTACAGCTTTAAAAAATCCAAACAACTAGGATCATTCTCATTTTTTTTTCTTTGTAACATCGGATAACAAATTTCACAAATTCCAACATAGGTCTAGACAGATAGAATAACATTGATAATTTAGAATATTTAGTGCAAGGGTAAATATGACAATGACCCGGAATATAATACCATGATAAAAATTCATCAAATTACTTGTAATACTTGTAATTTTTTTTTTTTTTTTTTTTTTTTGGGGGGGGGGGTCAAATTTCCCCTCGGGTCGCGCCACGCGTTGCGTTTTTAATTTCCTGGCGAGAGGCCTGAACACTGCCTGTCCTTGTTACTTGTAAAAATGACAAGCACTGTTGCATTGCATCTCGCGCAGTCTAAACTCAAATCTTGTATAAATAATAGGGGGCATAGACTATGTCTGCGTACCTAATCAGTGCTAATTATATATTTCATTTGAAATTGACAATTTGCTGTCGTATTTTTCTAATGCTTGAATCTCGTCTCGTCAAAATTGTAGTGAAAACACTGAACAAAGACAACACTGGACTGTAAAGTGTCAAAACTACAAGGAACGGCTGTGTTGTCATTTTGACATTGCAAAAACAAAGCCTGGGGATGAGTGTGTGTAATTGGGTTCTTACAGACGTGTACCAATCAGATATGATTATTTACATCTAGGGATCTAAGGTTAATGTCACTATCTGAAAGATGTGACTTAATTTCAAACTGGGGTCACCTAAGCTAGTAGGCGAAGAAAGAGAGCTGACCAAGTGAACTTGCCGCTAGACCAACTTGCATCTCCCCTATGAGGGCTGCGCACTCATTTATTTAATATGCGGTTCCAGATTTTTTACTTGAAAGATGGCATTTAGAGGCTTGTAAAAAAAATTACATAAATTTGAATTTTCTCATCAGTTTCTAACTGTTTTCTTGCACAAATAAATACAGTAATAGTAACAAAATAGATATGAAGGTTTTGTTTTGTTACAAATAGATCTAAGGCACTCTAATATAATCTTATCTAATCTGTTTTTATTTCACAATGAAATTTTACCCCCCAGTCTATTGAAAAATTCGGAAAACGGGAAACTAGCAGTAGGCTTTACAAAGTATTAGTAGGCAAGAAGCGTCAGCCACCCATTATGCCTTTAACTTTATGTATATATGAAAGAATGATGGACAAAGAATCTTCTGTGATGAATTTAGGATTGGGATGAAGTCAAACCTTAAAATTGTACCTAATTCTTATCTCATCATTTCTTATTTCATGTCTTTTCTTCCAATATCTTCAGCCAGAGAAACATAGGAGACTGGACTCTGACAGATTAAGCATCGTGAGCATTGTTATAAAGGGGTAGAGATGTCAGGAAATTACTATTTTGTTATAGTTGGTCACCATGACAACCCAGTGTTTGAGCTTGAGCATAGTAGCCAATCAAGAGCTGCTGAAGCAAAGGTAAATGCTACATAGTGCTTTTTAAAAATTTTGTTTGCAAAAGAAAAGGTTTGCTTTTCGACCCCAAGCTTATATATTTAAAACTAATTGTATTCCCAGACCCCCTCAATGTCAATCATAGTGACAAAGATTTGTTTTCAAATCTAAATTATTAAGCAAGTAGCTATGATGAACACAATACAAATTGATGCCAACATTAAATGTTGCCACTGATTGTTAGTTGAATGACCCAAGCATGATCCCTATGATTTCATCAGAGAGATGAATACATCATCTAACCATCCCCCCCCCCCATTTTTTTTTTTTTTTTTATATAACGGTATATTTTTTTTTACAGAAGTCATTCATTTTGTACTCTTCTTTTACTTTCTTTTTTTATAACTTATTTTAGTCTGAAAATTCAGTTTCTATCAATACCAAAATTACCATTAAAAAGCTCAATGTTACCTTGAGTTCTTAACCTTGCATTTTTTTTTCCATTTTCATAACAGAAAGATGATCATAGACACCTGAATCAATTCATAGCTCATGCAGCATTGGATATGGTAGATGAACACATGTGGACGACACCAAATATGTACGTAATGTTCCCATCTCACTTGTTGAGTATCTTGTTTTTAATAGCACTTTACCATCACATTTATGATTACACTTTGTTAATCTTCCATATAACTGATGGTTTTAAGTTAGACTTTAAAGAATGGATGATCATGAATATATGTCAGAACTCAGTTTACTCCTGAAAATTGCAGAAAAAACACCATATCCTCAGAAATTATGTAGAAGAAAAAGTTCTATTGAACAGAGAATAATTATCCTTAAGGTTTTTTTTTAAAGCAAGCATACGATATTGTTTTATTATGCAGTTTTAACAGGTGCTACATTATCCTTATATTTCTAGATATGATTGTTCATGTAAGCATTTAAGGTCAACAATGACGTATTTGTGTCCATTATTTGCCCATCTCACAATCAGATACATACCGGTATGTAAGAAAATGTTCCACTGTGTTGGTAACAATATTTTGGTATTGTATCTGTGGAAACTTGTACATATCAACCTTATTAATTGATTTATACTGTTAAATGCACTGAGATAAGTGTGCAATATTGTAATTATAACAATTTTATAAATGTAAAATTGACTCTTCTTTTTGTCCTTCATTGATGCAGGTATCTCAAGACAGTTGACAAGTTCAACGAGTGGTTTGTTTCAGCATTCGTCACAGCGGGAAATATCCTTTCTAAAGAAACCAAAAAAAAAAATTCTTTCATTTCTTTGTTCCCAACACCCTTCTGATTTGGTTAATTTGCAAAGGTTTAATAATGTAGTAATGAGGCAGTAGATCTACATTTTGTATGATGTCACAAAATGATGACAATGTAGAGAGTGAGGCAACAGATGCTAGATATGTGGCCTTTATTG